ATAAGGCACCTGATACATTATCAAGGGTGATGGATTGTAAGGAGATGTCTTTAGTTTCCAGTCCTAACCTTCAAAACTTGGCAGATGAAGTGTTGGCTGATCCAGTCACCAAGTCCATTTTCACTTATTTAATGCAGCAACCGCATTCTCATTCGGGGTACCAAATATCTAAAGGCTGTCTTTGGTTCCATAATAAGTTGGTTATCCCTAGTTCTTCTCCACAAATTCCCTTGTTATTACATGAATTTCACGATTCTACTTGGGGGGCACTCTGGTGAGCTACGCACATACAAGAGGGTAGCAGCTATTTTTTGGTGGAAGGGGATGAGAAGAGATGTGGCAGAATATGTGAAGTCTTGTGGGGTATGTCAGCAGCAAAAATATCAATGTCTCCAACCAGCTGGGCTGTTGCAGCCATTGCCAATACCGGAACAAGTGTAGGAAGATCTTTCCATGGATTTCATTGGAGGGTTGCCTAAATCATGAGGGATGGACACCATTATGGTAGTAGTAGACCGTTTATCTAAATACGCCCATTTTGTTACACTGGCTCATCCTTTCTCTGTTGAACAGGTGGCTGTATTGTTTGTGAAAGAAATAGTGAGGTTACATGGGTCCCCTCGTTCGATTGTTTCGGATAGGGACCGGGTATTTGTGAGTAAGTTTTGGGGAGAGTTGTTCAAGGCAGCAGGAACCAAACTGAGATTCAGTTCTGCATACCATCCACAAACAAATGGGCAGACTGAAGTAGTTAATAGGACCTTAGAAACATATCTAAGTTGCTTTATAAACGGGCACCCAAAGGGTTGGGTTAAATGGGTTCCATGGGCAGAATTCTGGTTCAATTCTGCCTATAACCGGTCTACTAACATGACTCCATTAAAGATAGTATATGGCAGGGACCCTCCAACGGTGATTAAATTGCATCAAGGGGGAGTGACTACAGAGGCAGTAGACAAGTGGCTGGAGGCCAGGGACGCAGCTCTAGATGACATGAAACAGAATTTATGTAAGGCTCAAGAAAGGATGAAGCATCAGGCAGACAAGGGCAAGCGTGAGCTTGAATTCGCAGTGGGAGATCGAGTGTTCTTAAAGATGTAGCCATATAAGCACCGGTCACTAGCAAGGTTCCTCAATCAGAAATTAAGCCCAAGGTTTTATGGGCCATTTGAGATAAGTAAACGCGTAGGACCAGTAGCATATCAGCTCATGTTACCGGGAGATTCAAAACTGCATATTGTGTTTCATGTATCCCAATTAAAGAAGGTGGTTCACCCAAGTGTACCAGTTTTAGAGTTACCTAGGGGACTAACCGAGATGCTTGAGCTACAAGTGACACCCACAACAGTGCTTGATGCAAGAAGATTACTAAATGGTAGAGTTGAGGTGTTGGTGAAATGGGAAGGTTTACCGGATTGTGATAATTCATGGGAAGACTCAGAGGTATTACAAGCTAATTTTCCTTCATTTCACCTTGGGGATAAGGTGGTTGATAAAGGGGGGCATTGATGGGCCACTGAAGCTATTTCCCAAAGTGTACACAAGGAAGAGAATAGAAAAGAGCCCAGCCCAACAACATGAAGAGCATCAGTCAGATGAGGAAGTGTCAAGCCCAGTCCAAGCAAATAACCAAGCAGACCGAGCTCGAGATAGGACTGCCAATATGAGAGTACTGATGCAACGAGTTCCAAATGCTGATGACTATCAGAAAAGTAGAATGGGCCAGGAGGATGATATAAGCACAAATTTAGTTATGCACATATGGGACATGTGGCATATGTTGAATGGCTCTTGGGAAATTGGAAGCGAAAACAACGTGAATGAAGTTAGTTATATTGGAGGTGAGAGCGTGGAAAAGGGGTGAAGATTTTTATCTGCTCAAGGAGGGGGAAGATGGCTACTCTGCAAACGGGCATTGTTTTGTAGAGGAAGCTGGGGAATTGGAGAAATATCAAGAAGGTGTCCTCATTCTGTTATTGTCTTTTCTAGTTAATTAGTTCATGTAAATTGTTGCAATATAGCAGTGATAGTAGTAGTGTCTGTAGTTGTTACTTCAATGTGTAATGTGGTACTCTGTCACGATGGTGAAGAGTAGCATGTTGGTTTCCTTTTCTGTACTTAGATAATGGTAAATTGATGAGTTCATCTGAATATATAAAAAGAGTCACTAAGGTATTTCAGTAAATTTGCTGTTGTTTATCATTACTGCTTTCCTGCCGATTTTACACTGATTCAGAAAAAAGTGATCCTTAGATAGCTTGTCAGGGTACCATCACAGCCCCCATAATCACATGCAATGGAAAGAAGTGATCAGGCCAGGGATGAGCCAGTTTTGCATATGGGGCCTTCTCATCGAATTGATTCACTTCCTCATATCTACAAGAGCCACATATATTGAACACTTGCATTAGAAGATGTATCACATGAATAGTTGCTAAATTTCCAATCACATCAAAGAAGTTATATGCAAATGATTGTAATTGGTCATTGTATTAAAAAAATAATCAAATTCATCATATATTCTATTAATTTGACCAAGCGACAAATTCACTACAATAAATGAGCTCAAATACCTAATCCAAAATTATAATCCATTGGATTTGTGGATCCTTTCACTTATATGTTTATAATTAACCTATTTCTTCCAAATGCCAAATTTTATCACTCACACTTAAATCCACAACACTACTGTCATATTGAGGAAAAAATAATCATATACCTTCCTTCAGTAAGAGAGTATTTTAACCAAGAATCAAATGCCACAGTCCAAGGAGCAGCAGGGCTATTACGAGGTCCAATTGCTCTCTAAGTTATGGACAGCACTCCCAGACCCAATTATTAGAACACCCTCATCCTTAAGAGGAGCCAATGTCTTTCCCATGTTATAGTGCTGGATAGTTTAGCTGAATATGGTATTCATTTATTTATATATGAATAAAATATAATCAATAAGATGAGAAAGATATTAGCTGAGAATGGAGAGGAAATAGGTGACAGAGTGGACTTTGCATTATCTTGCAGCTTATGCTTCTAAATTTTCGACATTTGACCACAAGCTTTTGTTTTGTGATTCATTCTTTTTCTCTATTGGCTAATCCCATTGTCCAAGTCCATCAGTGAACCGGTCATATGATCGGTTCGATTTTCATGTTGGATCCAAGTAACTAAACTGGTGCGACCCGATCGATTTTGAGAAAATCAGTGACCAGATCAATTCAACCGGTGACCCGACCCAGTTCATAAAAAAAAATTCCAAAAAAATATATATAAAGGATATCATTTTTTTTTAAATTCACAAATATTTTATTTTCTTTTGAAATATTTGAGTTATTTGTTGTTTATTAACTTACATAAGTTATGTACCTACAACACTAATATTATCTTGGTTATGCACTATGCAAGAAATTTTGATTTTAATTTATAGTTAAAGATATCATCTACTGAACATGAAGAACCAATATTACAAGCAATTTATGTTTGTTTGATCCTTTGTTGAATAATAATGTGTGGGTTATTATTTTCATATTAAAATATTTGAAATTGATATTTTTTTTAACATGTATTTGAGTATGCTTATAATTTTGTTAATATAAATTATAAATTTGTATATACTTACCGGTAGAGGTGTTAAAAGAGTTAAGGGTTTCCAGGGGCCTTTGGCCTGACTTGTGTAGACCTGGTTTGGCCCGTCTATTTTAATTGTTGGATACAAAGTTGGACTTGTATAAAAGTTTATTTAATAAAAAGGTCCTGGGCTCCAATTCCAAAGCCCGCGGCCTTAAAGCCCTAAGCTCCAATTCCAAAGCTACAATACTAACTCTTATTTTTATTTTATATTTTATACTACTCATTTATTAAACTGAACCTAATATTCACTTCCTCTTCATGGTCCATCATCATTTTTGTTGTCTTATTTATTTTTTTAATAAGCTAACAGGCTAAGCCAACTTCTATTTTTTGTAAACAAACCAGGCCACAGGCCCATAATTATATTCAATTTACAGACTTGGCCAGTCTGACACATTTAAACACAGGCTTAGCCTTTCGAGACCAAAGCTCAGCCCGACCCATTAACACCCCTACTTATCGGGTCATGCGGTTGAAAAAATGACTCACTAGCTGAATCAATGACTCAGTACCTCGACCGCGTCAATGACCGAGTCGGGTTTAATAACATTAAGTAAAACCATATGATTAGTTAATTTTAAGTGAAATTATTTATTTTTCTCAATAAATATTTTGTTACCAGAATTATAAGTGCAATTAAGCTTTTGTTTAAATAAATTTCAATTTATCATAACATAAGGTAGAGAATTGATCTTTGTAGACATTGCCTAAAAGGTAGAAAATATGGGGAAAAGAAAAAGTTCAAACATAAATAATTTAGTATTATAATCTATACAGAATAAGTTATTATGACTATGTGAGTGAAAACATCATATATAATTGTTTAGTACACATCATCATAGATATGATATATGACTAATGTTAATCAGCTACCAAAATAAATAAATAAACATTCCATCAATCGATTTCATGTTTATAATCCCTTATATACTCTAACTGAATTTATCGATTTCTTTTGAAGAAAAGTAGGAATTTACTTTTTTTATGGTTGAAAAGGTAGGAAGTATTTGGTTGTCAACAATTAGATTTAAAACTGATCAAGCATAATAAGAAGCAAATTTAAGTCATTCCATTTTGTCACCTACCCAAAACTAAATTTTCAATAAAATGATTAAAGCGAAGTCTTTTCTAATGGTTTCTTTTATAGTTGTCTTGTATTTTCTTCCTCTTCCAAGAACTAATTTCCACTTAATCAACTTTTTCCATGGAACTTTTATTGGTATTCTTCTTGCAGGATCATTGAAGAAATTACAATAACTAAAACTAGTGCGAGGAAGAAAAAAAATGAAAGGAAACGATACATGATTTTGAATTGCTGACCAAAAACAAATGGGACAAATGAGAGGCAGCTTTACTACTTTGAATAGGCCAATAACTCGATCAACAAAATATAAATAAAACATACATATTATAGCATCTCATGGAAAAAATAAATAAACACTAAAAACAATCAACTCTTACTCTTTGTTGTCCTTTTCAACTTCTTCCTCGCAGAACTATGATTAGTGATTTTAAATGGTTGTGAAGCATAGTTTCTGAACTTTTGAAGGATCTTCCTTTCACTGATGCGCAGCATCAGAGAATGATACAGCTTTCTATCTCTAACTAAACTACACCTTCCCAATCCTGCAATATCATCTTCTATTGATTCTAAACCATAGAGACTCTCCCTCATATCAACGAGTGACAACAGAGCATAACAAACTTTTTTAGTCAGCAAGAGTTTCGTGCTCACTTTAGATGCTTTCTTTGGTAAGATATTATCATCCAAAAGAATGGTTTCACTTGATTCATGATAATTTCCAGCAATTGATACTGATAGGTCTAACTTTTGGTATGCATTATCTGGTAATAACATGATGTATAATAAAATGACAAGTTCAATTTGTGGTTCTCCATCAAATGAGATCTCAAAATATTCAGAGTTTTGGCTGCCACATGCTGAATAGCCTAACCTTCTCCAAAGGGAGACTCTTGCTCTACTGTGGCGGTCAGAAAACAAAGAAGAACAACACTGAAGTACCAGTTCCAAATCAATGTTCACAATATCATAGGGATTATCTTGCTCAGTAAATCCATATCTATGAAGCAAAGCAGCATTACCCAATAACCCGTACGTATTAAATACCTGATACACAAGAGGAACACGTAACGTAAGTATTAAAGTACCTTCAAAGGAAGAATTAGAGGTCGCTGAATCAGAAAACTATATATAATAACTTGCATCAAGAGTAGCATAGTGACATTGGAGGTCGTTGAACATTTCAGATTGAAATGAAAACCATATTTCCAAAACTATCAAAAGGATGTAAATAAATACACATGAAATTATTCAAGACTGATCACGTACCAATGGAAGTAAAGAAAAACCACATAACTGAAAGGAAAGTTCTTACCTCAGCTCCACTGTTGACATCTTTTATCATGATCATCTCCAGCATTGAAGGATCACCCTCCATATCTGAAGAATACTCTGAGTTGCCATCAACGCAGTTCTCAACATGAGCAGTATTTAACTCAGTCATATCTATAGAGGAATTTTGAGCCAATGCTTCTTCATCAATGATCCCCTCATCATTGTTATTAAGATCAATGTCATTGTCAGATGCATAATTAGAGGACATAGCTGTGAAATGTACATCCTCAGCACCTGTTTTATGATTGAATCTGGAGCAGAGGGCAGTATAGACATCATTAGAATAAAAAAGTCTTCAGATCTGGATTATACACATAAATTACTGTACGCAGATTACACATGTCCCTAAAAAGCTTTATTCTTACTCTATTAAGTATAAATTAAAAACATCACAAGATATTGATGCACCACAGCAGTCCTTGAATATTATACAAAACACAAACAAGCTCTACTTTCTAGACAAAATAAATTTCTCAGCATGCAGTAATCTTAAAAAGACTTTGATTCTAGACGTCATAATTATCACTCAACTGAGATTGAAGAATTACATGCATAATGGCATACTTAGAACTACCTTTCTATATTACTTCTCTTATTTACTAGAAGTAGGTTACAGGGATCTACAAATCATAAGATATTTTAGCTCATCCACATAAACCACAAAGATAAGTGATTGCAAGTTTACAATTTTCCACTTCAATATCCTTTTCTTTCCTCTCAAATACTAGGAACACAAACACTTGAAACTCTCAGAACATAGTGTACACTAGTAGTTAATATAGTTATAAATCATATTGAAGTCTGTGGCCAAACTATTTTGATTGATTGACCTTGACAATCTGGCACGTCCTGCAATAAATTAATTACAACCTGGAATGCTCAAAAAGTGTCAGAGAATGAAACATAGACATTTTACTTTTGTGGCATATGGTCATCCAGGCAAAAAAGGGGAGCAATGTTTTTCACTTGATAACACCAGGGTTTTTTCTCCAGGTACATTAGAACCACAAAAATACTAAATGAAACACGTACAAACTAATACAACTTTGACTTACAGCACAGCATACATATCATTTATCCAGGAATGCTTGCTTCTCACTAGCAGGGGAATCTAAATGGTATTCTGATACGATATTGGAATACCAACTAGATTGAAGAGTCTTGGTGAATATTTGAGGTATTGGAGTCAAATTGAATAAAATGACCATCTTAAAGATTTTAATTCATCTATGGATTTGAGTATTTACAAGGGTAAGGCAAAGTTAAATGATAATAAATAGCAGTTAAAGGGGTAATCCGAGACTAGTAAAGAAAACCATGGTAATCACCAGAGGCTTTACTTACAGATCTGCCAAGGGAACCATGCCAAAACCATGGTAATCATCAATCGAGAACGATCGCGAAGAAATTAGACTTTTTGCTGCAAAGTATTGTTCTATACCAAAGAATTTTGGTTTAAGCTTTGAAGGTGCCAAATCCAATAGGGGCAGAATATCCTCTTTCCAGTCCTCATACATAAGAGCTTTTTCTTCTTGCACTGCCTGCCTACAGTTGTAAGAGATCAGAAAATTTTCATGAACGGCAAAGCACATAGTTTTGTATTTCAAAACACTAGTTTGATGCCAAGGACTAAAAGAACAGTCATAAAAATATCTTGGAAATTTTAAATGCAGTGCCGATCACAAGTACTCAGATATTCTTTCATTTTACTTCCCTTATAAGTGCAGGGTCCACTCAGCAATCAGCATTATAAACTTATTAATATGTACCCTTATTCTTCTCTAACGTTCAAACTACCTTTCAAAGGACATAACTGTGAAATCTAATATACATTAATTGAACCCCAGCCACAGCAAATAAAGAACAGAAAGTAAACTGGAAAATTCCTTGACATCATTCATATTATGAAGGTTCCAATGCTATTCTCGTATGCATATGTCAAAAGAAAAACAAGGGATTCATAAACTATACTTAAAAGACAGACTAAAAAGTAAAAATTATATCAAGAAACAAACACTATACTCTAGCCATTTTCAAACAAGTATACTAGAGCAAAGACGAAAAAGCAATCAACAAACACGAACATACATTGTCATATTTCTGTATGGTCAACTTTAATCCATCCCTAATGATTACTTTAGCTCTATAACATAAGGTATACCTGGTGAAGCTCAGTACCACACAAAAGGGCGTTTACTTCATTGAGGGTCCAAACCAATGGCAAGCACTCTTGGTGAGGCAAAAGCTGAAGGTACCCAGCCCAGGGGGAGTCACCACCCAAGCTTCTCTCATACATGATGGCAAATGCTAACCCCAAATGACCATCCAAACCAGCATCTTCAATGATCTCACGTGCCCCACTGGTCTTGATGGTAAGGCAAGCTTCCTTTGGCATCTTGGCCACAACATCACCTTCCTTCAATTGGCACAAAGCTCTCACAGCTATTCCCTCTTCTGGGGTGTCCACAAACTCCAATGCATCGCTCCATTCGAATCCCTGAGACTTCATCCACCGCTTGAATGCCCTCATACGCCTAAGCAGAAAAAACAAAGAGAGCAAGTTGTTCAGAGGCAAAAACACAAACACGTGCTCTGTTTGGCTGAAAAAGTAAAAAATTTGAATTGCAGCATGTATAGCAAATAGGTAAATCAAGAACCACTCATGTTTTGCCTTGGTATTGTTTAACAATGACAGAAAGTTAACAACTTTAATGGGTGAGGGCGTGAAAGCCTCGATTTTCCGCATACCCTTTAGTCTAGTCTCGTTCGGTTTTCCAAGAAAATGAATGGAAAAATGAGAGAGAAAACAGAGAATACGCATACCTGGTGGCCATAGGTGGAAGAAACAGAGGATTGTTGTGGAACAAGAAGAAAGATGTTAACGTTAGATGTTGGGTAGTAGTTAGTGGCCACTGAGATTTCTCTCAGGTGTTTTAGAGTTGCAATGACAATGCTACAGTTTCAGGCTTTGAATGCTTGGGGCTTTTTAGGGTTTGAATAATTCAAATGGATAATGGCCCAAGGGGCCTAGCTCCTAGTTTATTTTCACTTTTTCAATAAACCAAACAAACACAAACTTATTTCTTGGCCCATTTATCTATTATCGCTTGTGTCCATCGAAGGGAATTATTCTAAATCCATGCAACTTAGTTTGACAAATGTAACTTTTAGTTATCCAAAAAAAAAAAAAATGTAACTTTTACAACAACAAAAAATTGGTGGGGAACTTTTACACTTTGTTCCTGCATAGACTTGGTATAAATTATGTGCCAATATGAGAATACTCTTATCATACAGTAAAGAAATGACAACTTAATGAGCCAAACTAAACAACAACAAAATTAAGGTGATACTAGAAAACACCTTAAATATTGAATAGTTGAAAGGAACAAAAGGGAGTTGGTCGATTTTATGATCAAATCAATAGTTTAATGGCTAACTTATCAATTATTATTAATATTATTAACATTCTAAACTCATTAATATATATATATATATAGATATAGAGAGAGAGTTATATTTACAAAAAAAAATTATAAATTACATTATGTACTCCGTAAGTACACTAGGTTACACTATGTATTTCAGAGAGTACATAGTGTAATTTACAAAAATTTGTAAAAAAAATTATAAACGGATCATTTCCATGTATATATAGGGACATGATCAACTTACATCAATGTAACAATAATAAGTCTTACATTCAATCTCAACTATTGAATTTCATACATCAGGCAGTTGTAATTTATTGAGATACATTCATTAATTAATTATTAACATCCAATTAACTACAACCATCAAATATACGAAAATTAACAACTTCAATTGAATGTAAAGTTTATTATTCTTACACCAATGTAAGTTGATCATGTCTCATTTATATATATTTACGGAACTTGAACTTAATGAAGATAATATTATTGAATTTCCATTAATTTATCATATTAGGGAGAAGAGTCAACATAGTAGTGTATTGTTGCTACTTCAGCAAGTGCAGCGATCATAAAAAGTAATAAAGTGTATCGAAGTACGAGATCGTTTTCACGAAAATTATAATTTCAATCACTAGTTCCCTATTTTCGCTTTATTTGGACAACTAATAACAAGAATGTTTTAATTGGATTTTAAAACCAAACAATAACAAAATAACATATTAATAACGCAAGAAAGTAATTTGAAGATTGTTTTGACAATCAAAGAAGACGCAGTTAGGACTTCGGTTTTCCTCAATTCCCATTTATGTTATGAATTAAACTCTTAATTAATCACCCTTAATATATTGTCAATCGATTCCTCTAAATGAATTATGATTCAATCCCTTGACACCCTAACTATTTATGATCTTGAAAGAATCATAGTTCCATGGCTATAACATCAAGATCAAGAATAATAAGATTGCATAGTCTATTCCTAGAATCATGAGAATTATGATGAATTTATCATGCAAGATTCATGCACTAACATCTCTATTGTCATACAATCACCCTAAATCAATCTACAAGACCAAACTCATAGAAGGCATTAAGAATGGATAAATTCATGCAATATAAAAAGGGAAGATTATGATAAGTATTTAATCCGTACTCACAAAGGTTCAATTGGATTTCATCTAACTCTAACTACAAAGAAACCTAGCCTAGCATAGCAAATTCAAAAGCACAAGAAAAAGACAAAGCTCCCCCAAACTCCATTCGTATGATGGCGTTGTAAATCTTCAAAGTCCCCAGCGTATTCTTGAATTCCACCCGCCTCCAGTGCTCCAAAGTATGAAAGACGTGCTTCTATGACCAAAACAAGATTCATCTCTTCAAATTTGTCCAAAAAGTCCTTAGTTGGTTCTCAAAATCCCTTTTATATGTGTAAGATTCATGCCCTATGTTAATTCCACAAATTGGCCCTAAGTTAGACCACAACATGGTGCTTAAGCGTTCTAGAAACATATATCAAAATCATGTGAGCACACTTTACCGCGCTCTTTGAAAGAAAATTTCTGCATGATGGTGCGCTCTTCCAAAAGATATTAGCTATTTCTGAGTGTTTTGCGCATTTTTTCAGTCATGAATTTTCTTTTAGAACGCACTTTAAGGACTTATTTGATCCTCGATCTTGTACTCCAAGTCCTTTAACTTTGTTCTTGCTCCAATTCATATCAATCTACCTTCAAAACAAGCAAGAATCATTTATGTTAGTTCCTAATTCAATTTTTATGCTTTTTCATCAAATAATCCTAAGTTTTCATACTTTTGACTATATAATATGATATTATGCCTAAAAACATGATAAACTAAAGGTTTATCTTGTGTGGAAGAAATTATGTCAATTTCATGACGTAGGTTCCTCTTATTAGCTTTGTTCCTAATTATAACTTATGAAGAAATCAATGCATAAAAATTTTAGTCGAATTGTGCACATTAAATTTGATATTTTATTAAAATACGGAATGATATTTATTGCACGAGTGGAATAATGTTGAAATGTGTTTAATGTTTATGGGAATTAAATGTGTTATTTAGTAAAACATATTAAGAGTCAAAAGGTAATTAAGATGATTGATGTGAGAATTTATGAGGGATGAAATAACTCTTGATGGGAGCAATTATAAAAAGCAGATGAGAATAAGTTTTCTTCTACATAATGGTAAGAAAGAGTGCATTTCTTATCCTCTATCCATAAAGAATGTCATTTTACTTTCCATCAAGAATTAAGAAAGAACATTGAATTAAAAGGAGAAAGAGATTAAAAAAACTATCGCATTCAAAGTTTACAAGTCAAATATCATTATCAAGAAATGTTAGCATCCCTAATTATGTGAAAATCATGCATTTCTAATATCTCATTTATGTTTTTATATGATGAACTTAAGGAAGATGACATAAGTTTATTTTTGACATCAAGTGCTTTGACTATTTAAAATTGAAAAAAATTATAGTCGCAACATATTTTCTCTTATAATATTTTACGGCTATTTTGTTAACGATGAATTAACATCAAATCAACAATTACAAAATAGTATTAAATACTATCCATTGATTGTAAAGGAAAAGAAATGGTAAATATAATATCCTTGTTTAAAATTAAACTACGTAAGTAATAATGGACTTTGAATATTGGATGTGTGAGTTTATTATAAAGATATGTAATCTTTTTATTTTTTTCGGAATCCGTAAAAAAAAAAAAAAACTTTAAAGATATGGCCCGTTTATTTAAGCCCATAGGTCAGCAAAACGGAAAGACAGAAAAAGACATAACATAACCCTCTTTGCTGAGAATTAAAAATACGGAGAAGCAAACAAGTGCTGCAAGGGAACGCCAACAACACTTATTTAACACTCGTGTTTCGCTTGCATGGGCATCTGACTTGTTCTGATTTTGTTTCTGATGTGTGAAGACAACACAATTAAAAGATTAAACGACGGCAAGGGAGATACACAACTCAAACAAACGACCGAGGGAGACACATTACGCTGTCCAAACTAGTGTCGTACAGCCAATAACCAAGGTGAAATTAAAAATAAAAATAAAATAAAAATCAAATTTTATAGGGTTTTCTTAATGTATTGTATTATTGCCTTCTTTTCACCGTTTTCTCTTCCTTTCCTTTCTAGCATTGGTGGTTAGTATAAAGTTGAATTGGGTTTCACAAAAGTTGTTTCCCTTCTTCAACTTATTTTTGAGGTTAGGTATTTTTTATGTATATGCTTTACCTGTCGATCATTATAAATTAGGTCATTTGGTTTCGAGTTCTATTACTGCTATAATTTTTAGTTTTGACTCATCGCCATTTGTTTATTCTACGCTCTTTATTTTGCTATGCTCACTCACTTATTATGGTGTTTTAACCGTAGTTGCAACGGTGTCTGAGAAAAATTAAAACTTTTCAAATTGGAATTTATATTTGCTTTTTATACGTTGTTAATTTGATTTGATGCTAACTATATCGGGGATTTTGCTTCATCAATTACCGTTTTCCTTGATCAGTTGTTCGATTCTACTTTGCATTTTGATGTTATATATATTTTATGTGTTCCAATGAGGTAATGCATTTCCTGTATAATGATTTCTGAATGCTTGTAAAAATTCTTGTGGCCTTGTACAGTTTCCAATTTTTAATTTATTTTTATTAATTTTCTTGGCTCGCAGTTGTGGAGTTTGGTATAGCAAACAGACAGCAGAGATAGGAATCCTTTTGGCTGTCAGATTACTTCCTTTTGAGTTTTATGACCGTGTTGGGTTTTCACTATGAGTGGAACACCTAAGAGATCTCGTGAAGAGTCTGTTCATCCATCTTCAAAGCAGCAGCATGAAGATTCTGGTACATATTCCAAGTTGGTTTCATCGACAGTTTCAAATGAGAACCATATGTCTTATGATATAAGTCAGGATTCCCGGGCGGCAAAAGCACCCCGAATTGAATTTCGTGATGTAGATAGAAGATCTCCTCTTCATTCAGTGTATGGGATGCCATCATCTGCAAATGATTCTCATGCAGATCATCCTGTTGCTACTGAGAGCAGGATAGAATCAAGGGATTCCAAGGATGGTAGAGACCTCCAGTTTGAGGGTCGCGATACAAAGAGAGAGAAGGAATTGTTGGGTGAAAGAAGGGATCCTCAGAGTGCTAAGAGTGAAAAGGATGTCCCTGTTGAAGGTGGAGGAGATGACAATAAGGATTTGAGACATGATCGGGATAGTCATAATGATTCGAAAGGTGACAGTAAGACAGAAAAGGACAGCTGTAGCGTGGTTAGCAGCCACTTGAATCGGAAAGATTCTAAAGAGCACCATAGGGGAAAAAGATATTCTGATGCCCCTAGTGGGAGTTTGGACACCTTGCATATGTTACACGGCAATATGCAAGGTTCACTTGAGGTTGGAAAGGAGAGTTCAACAGCAGAAGAAAGGGATTATGTGGAAGCTCATGCAGCTGTTGGGGAGAACAAATTTGTTTCTAGAGTTGATGATAGATCTAAAGAGAAAGATAGAAAAAGAAAGGATGTAAAGCATCGGGACTGGGGGGAGAGAGAAAAGGAAAAAAGTGATCGTAGGAACAGTACACAAGTTATCAATTCTAGTGTTGATTGTAAAGAATCTGCCAAGGAAGATAGAGATGTAGAAAGGTCGGAGAGGGAGGAAAAAGATCTTCCAAAAGAGAAAGAAATTTTAAATGAGAGGGAAAAGGATCAGATGAAGAGGGAATCTTGGAATGGAATGGAGAAAGAGGTTCCAAATAACATGAAGGAACCTGTTGATGGATCAGTTAAACTGCCTGAACAAGAAATTGTGTTACCGGAACAGAAGAGACAAAAAGATGTTGATAGCTGGAAAAATGTTGATAAAAACGCTAGAGAGAAGAGAAAAGAAAGGGATGCTGATTTAGAAGGAGACAAGTCTAACAAGCGTAATAGGTGCTTTGATAAGGAATCAGATGATGGATGTGCTGAAGGGGAACGACCGATAGAGAAGGAGAAGGAAATCTATAATTATAGTGGTCAGCACCGGAAGAGGATACAACGATCAAGGGGAATCCCTCAGGTACCTAATCAGGAGCCTCGTTTCAGATCCCTTACCCAAGAAAATGAAGGGTACTTTCTTCCTTTACCTTTCTTGGATTTTCATTGTTTGCAAACTTGGCTATCCAATAACTATCTTTTCTGTCAAATATCTTATGAAATTGTTCATACATTTTATTTTTAATTTATGTCATTTGTTTCAGTGATAAAAAATTGAAGCTTCATAATTCCATTCTATAGAAGTTTCTTTATCTTTATTGATTGGATCCTACTTTTATGCTGTTTTTAATTGAGCTCCTTCATGCTATATTCCTTTTTAGTAATTATACGTGGCTATATATTTTGCAGGTCTCAAGGTATGCTGTCATTTTGTGTCACTGGCTTTGATTTGACGTGAGACTACTGTATTTGTGCCTTCATGAAGTATTACGGGATTCAGCAGAAATTGCTTTTATTATCCCGATTGCTTTATGTTTTATGATATAATCTCTTCATTCAAATTTATTCATCTAACTACGCTTCCTTCTTAATGTGTCGTGTGATGTGATACTATCATAATTTGCTAACCAATTGTGTGATGAGCTACCGTTACCTTTGCTTGTCCGTTATATATAGCTTCTGGTATTTCAGGTAAATCAGAGGTTTCTTCTGTTGTTTATAAAGTTGGTGAAAGCATGCAAGAACTGATAAAGTTGTGGAAGGAATATGAATCATCTCAATCTCAAATGGAAAAAAATGGTGAAAGCTCTAATAATGGCGGCCCCACTCTGGAAATTTGTATACCGTCTGAGTATGTCACTGCCACAAACCGCAAAGTAAGTTTTTTTTTTGTCATTGTAAATTTGATGAATGAGTGCCATTATTTCATCTTTTTGTGTGTGTGTGTGTGTTTTTTTTTTTTTTTGGGGGGGGGGGGGGGGGGGGGGGGGGGGGTTGTTCGTGGCCTTCTGTTTCATTACATTGATGACTTTTCTTGATGGTAGTGAAGTCTTTGTTGCGTGTTTTGTTTTCTCGATTTATTTTTTAGGTTTTTGTGATGTTTGTATACTTGTACTTGCATGTTACACCATGTAAGATATTTTTGTTATTTGTCAAAGAAAAGTTTGAGGATTTTGATACATAGTGGCAGATGATCATGCTCTTCAAATGATTTTGATCTAGTATCTATGTAGCACCGATATCGACACGAGACACGATACGACACGACATTCCGACACGTTAATTCTAAAAAATGTTATATTTCGACACGTTAGGACACGTTTTGATATTGAATAATATTTTTAATTTATGTTGCGTATATTATATTTAATATTCAATAACTTAACAAAAAAATAAAGCTAAATTTATAATACCCATTAATTTTGCAAAGAAACATAAGATATCACAAATATTTATATTAAATTCAATAAAATAGTAATAGTAATCCAACGAATCTAATAGTTAAAACTAAAAACGCAACGCAACACAACCTTTGAATCTTTTATTGAGTTTCTACAACACGCGTTGAAGTGTCGGGAAGTGTCGGACACGACACGTCGAGATTTTTGAAGTGTCGATGCTTCATAGTCTAGTATTCTTATAAAATTATTTTACATGGCTCTTCCCTCTATTTTTTATTTTCAATTTACCTTTGCTTTTTCTTATGCTTGTTGTTGATGCAGTGAATGCAATGTTTATAGTCCATTTACAAATTTTTAATTGACTTTCATTGATAGTTCTTGTAGATTCTTCCTTGCCATTAAGCATAAATTTGTTAATATACTAAAATACAGATGTTAACCTTTTTGCTTCTGCATTTAACACTTTTTAGACTACTATAGTAGTTCCTGTAGTTGTAGCTTGGATTGTAATTGGTCATTTTCAATAATTTTCATGTTCTGGAAACTATTGGAGGTCCTTTATAAAGAGCTGGTCTGTCCAAAAGTTATAAATGCTCATATCTTCCCTTTGATATGGTTTTGTTTCAATATTGAAAGGCCCATTTCACTATTACTGAACATTCTTTTTTGGGTTTGTCTGATAAACTTTTGATCTTGGGATAAGTTATTCTATCTACATTTTTTTCTGCCTACCTTTGCCGACCATTCTCTAACACCATTAGATCATAATCTCAATAGGAGAGAGAAATGATAAAGGTGGTTGAGATTCTGATTTAATGGTATTGAAGAGTGGTAGGCAAAGGTAGGCAGGAAAAAAAGTAGGTAGAATAACCTATCCCTTTGATCTTTATGTTTGGGTTCTGAGCTTTCCCAAAGGATATTGTTGCCTTTGTTCATGAAGGACAGCAAAAATTATGAAAAAAATGTTTTCTGATGTGTGTGTGTGTGTGTGTATATATATATATATAGAGAGAGAGAGAGTAGTTGATGAAACAATAGAAACGAGTGATTGCCATCTAGGTGGTCAAGATGTTGGCCAAAATTCAATTATGGTTCACTTTTGGTAAAGTAATTGCTTTTTGCTAGGTAATTGAAATTAATTATTTGAAAAGTATGAGGGGAGTCTTCTTCTCCCCTTTTAATTGAAATAGTGTATGTTTTGCTGTTTCTACAATGTTCAGTTATAGTTATGGTAATTTTCAGTTCTTTCTTGACTTAACCATAGTGAATTATCTCCCCCCCCCCCCCCTCCCTCTTTCTTTCTCCCTCTCTCTCTCTCTCTACATGATACTATTTGGGCCTTTATTTTGGTGTTTAGAAGATTTGGTTTAAATTTAGTTGTAAAATTGGGATTCTGAGTCCTCTAGGAACCCTGAGGTTGGAACAAATTATTAGTTGTGCTTTTTCACAAATTTCACTGTCAAATTATTTAAATATCATTGATTCTAAAATGTTGAATATTTTTAGAGATGAATATTTTTGAAATTTTGTTTGTCTATTCATCCAGGATGCTCTGAGACATCAATATCCATATTCTGCCAATTATCTGGTACCTTTTGATTTATCTGAATCTTCTGCTTCTTCCATAGTTCCACCTGCATGTTCTGCATTTTTTTTTGTCAAGTAGCTATGTGACCTATCTTCTAGAAGTCCTTAGAAGATTAAGATCATTGCTTGCTAGAGTATTTTTACAACCAAACAACTATAGGTCTGAACTTTTCAATTGATTTTGAATTGTTTTCAATATCTAAGCCTTCCGACATTTCTGCCCTACAGCATGCTTTTTACATTGCTCACTTGAAATTAATTAGATTGGCGATGATTAGGATACACGATTTGTCAACTGTACTGCTTTATTCCATAACCTTGAGATAAAAATTAAGCTTCCATGTCAGAGAAAGAAATATTGATGCAATGAAGATTGGACTAGACTGGGCGGTTTGCCCAAATAAACAGGACTTGTTCTACAGTCCAGTCTGGTCATCTGAGTAACTAGTGTGAGTCAAACCTGGTTGAAATCTCTTTGAAATTGCTTATGATGTGGAGTTAGAAAAATGAATTTTGTTTCATTTTGTCCCGCACTTTAGAAAACCAAGAAGGTATTAATTAATAATTATTTCTTTGCCCCCTTTATCCTTGTCTCTTGGTATCTCCTCTGAATGGAATGAGAAAGAGCAGTAATGGAGTGAGAGGATAATTTAGTCAAATGTGGTTTATTATTGAGGGTATTTAATCCTTGTGTAAACAACTTACACACAGATATTTTGAAATGGAGGTAGTATTTAATTTTCAATTCTAATAAAATAAAATTATGCATGGCTGATTTGTGTGTTAAAGTGGAAGAAATTCACTTTTTTTTGCCTGCTTGTTGTCCCCTTTTCTTTTAAATCCTTTTTTTTTAAATGTTAATGATTTGATGAGATGAAAGTCTTTTATTTGCTTATTTTCCTTTTCTCTCTAAGTCTGTGTATCTTTAAAATTTAAACACGCCCGATACAATTTAAATATGATTTTCCTATTGATGCTATACCATGTCTTGAAAGTTACATTGTTACATTCAGGTCAGAGGTGGCCAGCTTTGGGGGACTGATGTGTATACATATGACTCAGATCTTGTTGCTGGTATGTGTCTTTACAAGAAGGATGCATTAGCTTTTTCTTAAAAATGTCACGAGGTCACAAGTTAGATGTGAGTATTAATATTGCAATTTTGTCGCATAGTGCTCATGCATACAGGTTACAGTAGCCCAACAGCATCTCCTCCTCCTGCAGCCATACATGAATTGCGCGCAACCATTCGGGTGCTACCTCCTCAAGATTGTACGTCTACTCAGCTTACCTAGCCTGTTATAAATCAGAAAGATGATAATCATCCCTTGGCACCATTGTCTTCAATAACTTTTGATTACATATAAGTGGTCTTGAAGTAAGAATATAGAATATATTTGTGATGTATTGTCATAGTTTTGGCTTATATGACACAACAACAACAACAAAAGCCTTTTTCCACTAGTTGGGAAGGACATTTAGATTTAGGCTCTTGACAAGTTTTTTGCTTATAAGGTGAGTATTTCAAATCTCTAAGTTGAAATGTAGTTTTCCGTTAAGCTATTTTAGAGGGTTTATGATTGGGTTGTTCTTTTCAAAATCATTTAATATGGGTCTAAAATGATCTGAACATACTATTAACTATTATATAAGTATTGAGTAAAAGGAAAGGAAAACAATTAAGTAAAAGGAACTGGATCTCGTTTAGAGTTTTTAAGATTATAGGTGCTAGTTTTGTAGTTTAATTTGTGGTTCTGTTCTGAATATTAAATGTGAATTATGTTGTGTCAGAAGAAAGGAGGGGACAGGAGAGAGAGCGAGAGTCAGTGGCTTATATGCTCACGAAACTGGTAGCATTTAATGCCTCAAATTTTGCTTGATAAACATGCAAGTCATTTGACACCAGAGAAATATAGGGAAAAAACATTTACCAGAGGAAAAAAAAAGAGAAACATATACATTGTTACATATTTGATTATGACTCTGAAACGCTTCATTGATAACAAATATGGATTATTTGTCATACAAAATCAATGTGTTAAATTGAAGGAAGTCAAGGAGACATAATGTTGAAGGAAGCAAGGAAGAGCACGAAGGACATATTGATGGCTGACCATTATTATCCGTAGCAATTAGGATAGGTTTGCAGGACCTATTTGAAAGAATAAGGTGATTTAAAATATTATACCAAGAAAATTAAAATGATAGGAATCTGAAGTCTTGGGCATTTCTAAGTCTAGAAGGTTTTGCAATGAGGTTCAGAGCCTTGGTCTTGGGATTTTTTATTTTTATTTACATATAATCTTTTTTTTGAGGGGAGGGGTGTACATGAACTGGACCAAGGCTTGAGAGAAAATTACACAACTGAAGCAAGTCTCCCTACAGAGTCAGCTAGGAGCAGAAATATGAGGTGAGGATGGGGGCTCTTTCCAAATCTTTAATCCAACTTGTTCGAAGCTTTTACTCAGCATACATATTTCCTAGTCTGAGTTTGAGAGGCTGACTTGCCTGTCTTTGTTTAGCCAGGTTCTTACGCAATTGGCCAAAGAAATTGAGACAGATTGTTTAGTCACAAAATAATTGAGAGTGAAAAATAATTGAGAGCGATTCGTTTGAAGACTATAGGCAGTTTGAACTTTGAAGACACATTATAATACCCTATATCTCCAGGCTGTTTAAAGGCACCAATTCTTTTGGAAAAACCAATGACTCCAACCAATTTGATGCGTGCTTGATACCTGTTTACCCTCCAATTTGAATCTGGAATATGTCTCTGGGATATTATTAGGAAGGGACTTCATGAACCAATTACCAAACGAAGATAGCAGTACTTCTTGTATCACACAGTCATGCCTACTGCACCAAGCACCCTCTTGAAACTTAGTTAATTATATGTGTATAGCTACTTTGTTGGAGTTTTGTGTATTTATTTATTTTCATATACTTATAGTGGGCAAATTAGCCATTAGCCAGTTTTGTTTGTTTCCCTTCTGCTTTTGCATTTTCTGATACTGTTTTTCCTTTGAAGCTTTATTTGGGTAATCTAAAGATAGTAGTTATGTGTTTAACACCAGGCTATATTTCTACACTGAGAAACAATGTACGTTCCCGTGCTTGGGGTGCAGCAATTGGCTGTAGTTATCGAGTTGAGCGGTGTTGCATTGTGAAGGTAGTAACCGTAGCCCTGCAAAAACTCCTATTGTCCTTTGCAATTTTTGTCCCATGAAGTTATCTGCTGTCTTATTTGCAGCCTCACATGCTTTAGATGTTGCCATATATACTACAACATTATTTTCCATAACAAATATAATATCCTTTTTTGATTTTGATATCTCGTTTTTTCAGATAAGTTTCTGATAAATGCTTCATTACTGTTTTCATAACATGCTAAACTTCCTAATTTGGGGTGGAAGAAGTGCATGTGCTTAGAATTGGTGTGCACATTTACATATTGACACCTGCATCTTTATTCTTTGCATTACATGGATATATATGTATAAATTTATCATTGGTTGGACTCGGTCTGTATCAATATTAAAAACTTAATGTTTAACTGCTCATTTGGTTAATCTTCAGAAAGGAGGTGGAACTATTGATCTTGAACCATGCCTTACACATGCATCAACTGTTGAGCCCACCCTTGCTCCAGTGGCTGTTGAGCGGACAATAACTACCAGAGCTGCAGCTTCGGTTTGTCCAGCATCTTATAATAAGCACAACTTTTGCCTGCAAAATTTAATCGATAATTATTTAAGATTTTAGATTGTGATCCATACCTGCTTTGTTTAGATCGATTAATTTTATTATAAATTCTTGTGTTTGCTTAATACTTGTTTATTCTGTTTCACATATGGAACTTGCATTTGTGTTTCTCAATAATTCAAGCATATATTGTGTTGATTCCTTTTTTTGAAAAATTAAAAGTTTTGGTGTTTTAATTGCTGTTGTATTTGGAATTTTCAATTGATTAAATTAGCTTGAAAAATTATGTATTGTTTCGGCTTCCTAACATGGTTGTCAAGATTGTGAGCTAGATCATGGGATTGTACGATCCTACAATTTTTTGACCTCTTGCGAACCAAATCGATAGCAAGATCGTACGAGAGTGAGATTGGGTGGGATCACCGTCTTAGATCATAAAATTGGTGGGATGTGTGATCCCACTGTCGCGGCAATCCTGAAAAAATCCAGGCCCAAAAAAGACCCATAAAACAAAGCGAACAAACCATGCAAAGCATAACCTGACTCATCCAATTTCTCTATTCTTCCTTAGACCTGGAGGGGGGTGGGAGCATGGTTGTCAAACTCGCAGGTAAACTCGTACGAGTTTACGCTTTTGAACACCCTCAACGATCCCGATTCACCATAAATTCGTTTTTGGCATTGACTCGGTAGGGACGCCGTGTTTTTTGGCAAACTCGTAAGCTTGTACAAGTTAAACAATTCCACCAAAAACAGAGTGACCCATGGACCCAAATTTTTTGACCCGAAATCCATCGAATAAATGGGATTTTTCAATACAAAAAACCCTAAATACCTGGAGGAAGCCGCCACCTTTCCTTTTCAGTGAGAGACAACTCCTCTTGCTCCACCATCAGGCTTGGCTGCGTTCCACCGTCTTCTCCGACTCAGTCATCCCTCTCTGTGTGCGTGCGTGCGTTCTCCACGTGCTCCTTTCCCAGGATTTGCCATCGTGCCTTCGCTGTTGTGCCTTTGCCATCGCCGGATGGTGTTCTGTCTCTATCTCTTATGCGCTGCCTCTGTTTCGTTTCGTTTATGCATCTGTTTACCTTTGTGGCTTCGTCGATATGTTTTTTTGTTTTCTCTCATTTTACTTGAATGTCTGATCCTCAGCTTCTGCCTCTGTTATTACTTAACCAAATTTTTTTTATTTGATAAACCAAATTAGTTTTTTATTTTTTTTTCTTCTTGTTTTTGCCTGTTTCCTTTTTTTTTATTTCCTTTTTAATTTACTTGAAAAATCAAATTAGTCCACATTGAAAACTCAAATTAGTCAAGATTGAAAAATCAAATTAGTCCAAATTAGATTTACTTGAATAGTGGTAAGTTTTATTTTTCTCAATACTGCTTGCTTCTTATTATATTACTTTATATGCATATAAATATATATAAATATAATTTGTATCCCATGTTACGATTCTACGATCCGTGTTACGATTCTGCGATTTACGATTTTGGTTCACCCTTCCGAGATTGCATAGAATCTTGGGTTTGACAACCTTGGGTAGGAAAGAGAGAGATGGCAACCTAAGCAGTCATTGAAGGGGTTGCAGCAGCAATGGCATGTCAGTTCCAAAGACAGGGCTAAAGCACAACCAGAGAGGAAGTGGACCTTCTGGTCCGATAATAAATCGTTGGCAAGGTGCTGCTTGGGTAAACTATCTTCGCAAGGTTTACACCTTGGACACCATTGAGGAGTTCTGGTGCTGAGTTTTCCTCGTCTGGGTTTTCCTTCCTTTTTATGCACAATTTTCATTTTTTTAATTGGTGTTTGATTTCTAAGGGATTTGATGGTAGTGATTGAAACCAAAATTTATTTTTATGGATCTTAGGAGAGAGAAACTCGAAGGGTCTTATCTTATTATTGTGGGGAAAAATTTCCATATTGAGAATATGGGGTTTTATGTTTTTCTGTTTTTGGTATATTATTATTATTATTATGACAATAAGAGAGCGAGTCTGGAGCAGTGGTAAAACTAGTCATTTGTGACTGAAAGGTCACGAGGTCGAATTCGGGAAATAGTTTCTTTGCAAACATGTAAGGGTAAGGCTATGTATATAAGGATTGCCCTCACCCCATTTTTGCTTGTCGGAGTTTAACGGGGAGTGGTATTATTATTGTGACAATCAAGTTTTGGTAAATATTACAAGAAATTTGATGACTTTGTGATATTGAAATCTTTTGTTGTGAGATCAGTTGAATATATATGTTTGAATATAATTTTGTGTGTTGTGTAGTAGGATTTTATGATCCATGTCAATCGCACAATATATGATTCTCCCACCCCCTTCTTATTGGATCTGAGTTTGGCAACCTTGCTTCCTAAGCTTGATTTATTGTTTTTATTTTCCTCTTATAAAGAGCCATTTTAACCCAAAAGCTTAAGTTATTAGGTGAAGACACATTAGTTGTTTTATATTTTATGTTTTATTTCTGTAACACCTCTACTTCATAGAAGCTGAGAAAGAGGGGGTCAACTAATGCAAACAAAAACTGCTTTGTTTTTTTTACTGGATCTGTCTTGCACTTTCCTTGGGTCAGGTTTCTATTGGTTGCCATAGATAGTAACTGTTATTAATCTCCATAAAAGAATTGTATTTGGCAATTTTATGTTTCACTTGTGTTGAGGCCTGGATTTGTGCTGCTTGCCTAGCTAGAAAGACCTATTTATTACCATGACATGGTGGCTGTTATTTTTCAGAATGCATTGCGTCAGCAAAGATATGTTCGAGAAGTCACAATACAGTACAATCTCTGCAACGAGCCTTGGTATGCTTTTTTTCTGTTGGCAAAGAGATTAATCTAATTGTGTTTTCTGCTAGCGCAAAAATAATATAAACCAATTTGTGTTATTTTGGTAATATTTGAAAATATCTGTTTTTGGAAATTCAATTTGGAATGGATTGTAATATTTCTTATTCTAAATTAGATACCATATGCAACACATTTTGCAGCTTATTTTGATTTAGTTTTTTTCACTTATCCGTATCTCATGATTATAATATTCGTAATTATCAGGATCAAATATGGTATAAACATTGTTGCTGATAAGGGTCTAAAAAAGCCACTGTACACATCTGCTCGTTTGAAGAAGGGAGAAGTTTTGTATTTGGAGACACATTTGTCCAGGTATTTTTGACATGGAACTTGTACTTATACAGCGATCTGTATGTCAACTGTTATTGGCTTCATATTTAATTTCCCTTAATAAAAGTCACTGCATTTTTTGTTAAACGTCACATATAACAGGGATATGCTTATAAATGTAAAACCATATTGAATAAAATTTCACTGTTATCAAAGTTATTTTGATTTATAATTTCTTTTAAACCACCTGTTAATTTGTGAAATATAAAGAATTCACTATTAAGGTCTTGAAATGTATTCGTCCGCTCCATAATCTTCTTGAAAGTCTGAGATTCTTGTTGAAGTCCTGAAGAAACTTCCTACTGTTCTTTTAATTAAGAGTTAATTCTTTGTAGATATGAGCTTTGTTTTATTGGAGACAAAATGGTCAAGGCTACGCCAGCAACTCAGTTGCATGACCCAGGCGCAGAAAAGTCTAACCACCCCCATTCCGCAAATGGTGAAAAGAATGATTGTTATAATGTTATGATTGATGCATTCCGGTGGTCTCGTTGTAAGAAGCCTCTGCCACAGAACGTGATGCGTACCATTGGCATTCCTCTGCCTCCTGAACATGTTGAGGTATTTTTAAATCACTCTTCATTTGTTTGCCACTTGCATGTGAATGATGTATATAGTATTTTCTCCTCTCCATTGTGACTTATATATCTATTGGAGGTTTGCATCATGCATCTAATAGTATACTTTCTTATTTGTTGTTAAGATTAAGAGTATGACTGTGGAAGGGGAGGTGGGGGGACAGGGGTCTCTTTACCAGTAAGAGACAGAGGGAAATCACATGGAATTTCCTGTTGGCCAAGTGTTAACTTAATGCGTTTTGAAAATTTGCAAGCTCTCATTTGCATGAATCATTTCTCCCGTTTCTCCACTTGCCAATTTACATGCAAGTTATATATAACGTGGGCTGTGGCCATTGTTTGTCTTGCTTAAACATCACATGCATAATCCCTCGATTTGGTACTTATAGTTGAAATGTTACTATGAACAAATTGAAGAATGAATATGTAAACTCTCGTATTTTTTTTTTTTTTTTTTTTTGATAACAAACTCTCGTATTTTCAATTATTTCATAATTGAAAATTTGAGCTTTCTTTTTAGGTATTGGAGGAAAATTTGGACTGGGAAGATGTACAATGGTCTCAAACTGGTGTTTGGATTGCAGGAAAGGAATATACCCTTGCACGGGTGCATTTCTTGTCAATGAAATAATTTTATTTTTTTAGTGCCTTGACTGAATTAGTTTATAACCCCTTTTTATGTTTTTTCTTTTTTAAGAAGAGTGATGGTGGGATGATATAATGTGTTTATTCATGTACTTAATTGGAAAGAGATTGTCCTTTTATGTAACTAAAACCCAAGCTTTGTAGTTTACGGGGCTTGGCTATTGGTCTAAAGTTAAAATGCTTTACATTGTGTGTGTTTTCTTTAAAATTTGCTTGCCATTGTTGCTCTCGCTGTGTCCTGAATTTCAAGGGTCGAAATAACGTTACAGAAATCGGGTGCATTCCTTCAATAATTGGAGGAAAATATATTAGCCAACTGAAGTACCAATGCTAAATTAAAATCGGAACCTATGTTTCTTAAGCATGCTCTGACTGTGCATAAAGAAAGCTTTCTTGGAAGAAATGTGATTTCCCATCTCGAATGCATTAATCTTTGGATGTTGGTTATCTTTGGAAATCAAAAAAAAAAAAAAATTTAAAATCAGAAGCTGCGGTGTGTCATGAGGTGAATGCAAAGATAATTGGGAGTGAATTTTCTCATGTGCTAATTAACATGACCATGTCACGTGAAGCAATTATAACCATATATGGGTGAGTTAATGATGATAAGGGAAAAGAGAAAAAAAATATAAAGATAGGAAGTTATATAATCATCACTGTTGATTTAATTATTAATAGTTACGATCTTCATATATAACATGATCATGTTAAATTATACATAAGAGAATCTATTTTCAAGATAATTACATACAAGCCTGACCTAAGTGATGCTCGTAAATTTCTTAAGAATGACGAAGATACTAATAGTGTACACATTCTTTAAACGATAAAATAGTTTTATTCTTCTGATCTACATTTTATTACATGACAACTATTAATTTTTATCATTTTGACCACAACTACTACGTTGTATATGATTGAATATATAGCTTAAACCATGGCTCTAGTTGCCAGCCGAGTCTCTGTTTTTAGGTTACCAGTAATATTTGAATACGAACTCGAAGAGAGAATCCAGATATGTGGCTCAAGAGGCAGATGATTAAGTCACGTGTGTCTTTGGAAACAACCAAAATATCAAGCCACCAGCCACATATTTCTATAGCCACGAGTCCCAATCATTATCTTTAGGAAGTTATTTCACATAGCCGCAGAAATCCAATCTCACTACGAGAGTACAATTTGTTCTTGTACTCTCAGGAAGTTCATGAATGTCTTACATTTCATTAACTGACCCCCCTTAAAAATTATACAAAACACATGCAGCTATGACTATTTCACTAAATCTTTGAAAGGCACATTGAGAAGCAAGTTTAAGAATTGGGAACCTAGTTTTCAACACATTAAATGACCTCCCGATAGCACTTCTCAGACATCAGTGCCTGTGATTGAATAGCTCCTTTGCATACTAAACTGATTAGCACCTCTCCACTCATAATGCTGCTAACCTGGTACTGTACCCCTTAAAAAAGAGCAATAAACCCTTTCAATATTTGAGCATCCATGTCAACAAGGTAATACTCTCCCTTCCTAAAGAATAAATTCAATCAAAATGAAATAAATTCAGGACAGGTTTAATTTAATTTGTGATATGAACAGATGTTGAATACAAAACAATAGTTATAAAATACTAAAAAACCTTTAGGTATTTGAGGGAAATTTTGATCTTGGTCTTCACTCATCAAGGACTGTCTTAGTAAACGTGATTATGATACAGAGCCTTCCCAACCAAAATAAATGAGCATAAAGTGCAGCTCAATTGTGCAAGCTGCCAGCTATAGTAATAGTAGCCAGCAGCAGCTGGAACGAGTTCCATGTCATCCAATTCAAGGCCAATATCATCCATCCTGATTGTGGTATCTCTAAAGATAAACTTAAGAGAGTACCAATGAACAAGAAGTAGTATATCATTCTGAAATATTTAGTTCATAGCTTTAGAAAGCATTTCAAATTTCCAATCACGCATAAAACAGCAATCCCAATAATAATTTAGAAATCATGGGAAGGGGGAAGTGCTTTATACACATAACTCCCTTTCAATCAAGTTGACCGTACAAAAAAAGGTATAGGACCCCTATTCAACATAATCCAAGAATTTTCACAATCAATTTCACCTAGAGGAAACAACACATTTGCCCTGCAACCATGGCAATCTCTTTTCACACTTGAGAGAGATGAAAATCTCGCGGGCACTAGTGTTAGTCTCAAACAAATCCAAAGCAAGAAAGTAGACCCGTTCATCAACACCTTGCAACTCATCCAACACCTTAATGCATTTGCTTATGGAGAACCTGTCCTCATTCTTCAAAATTGCAGTTGCCCTCATCTTTGAAGCAGCTGCTATCTCCAGCATGGCATCGACTATGGCGTCTCCGGCAGCTTTCCGGCTTCTCTTCCGGCCACCGGAACCGGACGGTACTACAACTGGGTGACGCTTGTGTCCATCCAACATATTCACATCTTCTCCAGAACCAGAAGAACCCTCCTCATCCACGTAAGCCATTGCCACTGTAAGTAACATCACTCAATTTGAGCATGCCCAATTGTGTCAGATTCTCAATGCATAGAACAAAGTACAAATCCCCAACAATGAAACAAATCAACACACGGAAAATTCAAAACCCGAGAAAACAAATAACCCTAAAACTAAAACCCACGAAGCAGGCAAAGATAAACAGACCCAGAATGAAAAGAGAGTGTTTTTAACGTTTGATTTAGTGTGCAATGTGATTATGGGAAAGGAACGAGACATCGTACCGTGTCGCACGATGCTGTCGATTCCGTGAGTTAGGGTAAAAAAAAACGTTGTGGGAATCACGATCTTCTTCAAAATTTGGTTATTGAAAACACATTATTTGATGCGTGAACGCCAGCGAGGGAAGAAGTGAAGGATCACAGCAACTCTGAAAACCCTAACATGAACAAGATGGAGGAAGAAGACGGTAACGGAAGCAGTGTCTTAAACGCATCATTGTACTAGTATGCACAGTGCTATGATTACTGTTGCACTATCAAATAACAGTTGGCCTATTAGCTCAGTTGGTTAGAGCGTCGTGCTAATAACGCGAAGGTCGCAGGTTCGAGACCTGCATGGGCCATATTTGCTGAAGTTTATTTTTTCACAATTTTTTTTGAGGAATATGCTAAACATGGACACTCCAAAAATTCTAATTTTAGTTTCATTTATTAAATTCGTTTGATTACGGTTATCATTTTATTGAGTTTAATATAAATATTTGAGATATGTTATGTTTCTTTTTAAAATTGATGGGTATTATAAGTTTAACTTTATTTTTTTGTTAAATTATTAAATATTAAATATAATATATACTTTATATATTAAAAATATTATTTAATATCAAAATGTGTCTTAATGTGTAAAGTCTTAATATGTCAAAATCTAAAAAAATTTAAAATTAATATGTCGGAATATCGTTGTATCACGTGTCCCGTATTGATATCGGTGCTACATAAGAAATATGTACATGATCAATGCAAAAAAAAAAAAAAAAAAAAATTCTGGGAGTTTTTTTGAAGAATACGTACACTGCCAGTAGGGGTGTTAACGAGCCAAGCCGAGCCGAGCTTTGGTCTTAACGGGTCAAGCATGTGTTCAAATGTGTCAGACTGGCCTTAGCCTGTTACCTGTTATGAATATAATATCAGCCTGTGACCTGGTTCATTTACAAAAAATAAAAGCCTTGTTTAGCCTGTAAGCCTGTTTAAAAAAAATAAGACAACAACCAAACAAAATATACAATCAACAGCACTAGTAATTCCATAAATATTCATAAATTTAATGTATATCTAAATAGCATAATATAAAACAAAATCTTTTAAAAAGTCTGTTTAATTAATAAAATGGGATGAAATGAATTGAGAAGAGAGAGTTATCACAAGTAGTATAATAAATAAATAAATAAATAATATATTAGGCAAACCCGAGAGATTCTAAGGCCGAGCTTTTGAATTGGAGTCTGTGGCCTTTTTATTAAACGAGCTTTTATACAAGTCCAAGCCTGGGTCCAACAATCAATTTTAGACATGTAAGCTCAGGCCTTCACAAGCCAAGCCAAAGGCTCCTGTAAGGCCCTGACTCGTTTAGCACCCCTAACTGCCAGTCTGCCAATAGTTAGCATATATAAAAAAAATCTCTAATTGTCGTACAGGTGTCTTGCAATGCACTTAGTGCTTAGCAGTTTATGAACCTGATTCCAGCATATTCTTAAAGTTCATTTCACATTTCCACTTGAGCTGGAGTATGATCACAATTGATGTTCCTCTCTTCAGCAACCATACCATATTCGGAATATGAGCCCAGGTGGACTGCATATGGAACCAATTAATGTCTTTTTCTCATGGGATATATGCTTCACAAGTGAGAACTTTTCTTTAAAAAGAACCATTGATGTTTTGAACTTGAAATAATGTCTCATTCATTATTTCTTTTACGGAAGGAATAAACTTTATTTTTCTCTTCAAGCAACATACAATTGGTTTCAATTTTAATATTCAATTTATATATTTTTCGATATAGATATTTAAGTTAGGCTCTTTAGCACGAATTTATAAGAAGAATGTTATGAAGTGGGGCTTATCAATGAGTGGAGAGAGAGAAAAAAAAATCGTTTGTCACTTCCACACAAAACACAACCACTCTTTTCCTTCTTAGTTGTCTATATCGTGTATTTATATATCAATTGTTAGAATTTTTAATTCCTCTAAACCTTATAGTGATAATTATCACCTACAAGCCAAGATCCATCGTACCAAATCATAAAGAAAAATAAGAACAACATAAAGGTGGAGGCATACCTGTCTCCATTGCAGCGGAATAACTTTGATCTTTTCTCTTGGGGTTTCTAGTCTTCCTCAGTCAAATCACCCTAAAACCAAATTCCTTAGTGTGCCGTCTCTCTCTTGATGGGGAAGAGAAACTAGGGTTGTTGATTTAACGTATTGGGGACCATAACCCTTATATAGTGTTTTTATCTTTATTGTTGGGCCAATAAGCTCCCATTATACCTAGTTGGCCCAACACCGGCATCCACTCATTCAGTCCATACTCACTTAGGAATCTATTTGGGAATATTTAACTGATCACTTTAATTTACCCAATATATATAAATAGCACAATATAATTATTAATATAATATGTGACCCACAATAATTATTAGAAAATATAATTTCTTAACAATCTCCCACTTGGGCCACATATTAACTTGAGATAATTATATCGTATATCTTTAGTGTGCAACTGTATGCTATTTTTCTTTAGATTCCTCCTTAGATACAATCTGGTCCACCTCCTATATCAATATGAGATCATGGCGGCTTTTGTCACTTTCAAGCGTAACTAAACCTTCCATGGTCATCGCACCAATATATTCAATGACATAGATCAAGTATGGATGAGTGGCATGGAAATTACATGCAATGTGATCTTACAATGCCTATTTCCAACTGGTCCTACTTTAATCTTTATGAGATCAATCCTAAATTTTCTGTATACACAAAGCAGAAACACAAGCACAAAATATAATACATTCAGAGGGAAAATATCATTGAATTCTTTATTCTGCAGAAAACAAACATAAGAATGTTTCATTTATTTATTTACATAGAACACCAACATAAAGAACTCCCACTAAACCGTAGTGCCATCGAACAAAACAACACCCATATGAGCAGTATGCTCGTGAAAGACCTTAGGCACTAAGCCTTTAGTAAGCGGATCCGCAAGCATGGAGTTCGTCCCTATGTGTTCTATGGAAATCTGACCACTCTGAACTCTTTCTTTAACAACCAGAAACTTTATATCGATGTGCTTCGATTTTGAAGAGCTTCTGTTGTTGTTGGAGTACAACACTGCTGACCTATTGTCACAATAAATCTTCAGTGGCCTTTCAACACCACTCACTATATGCAGCCCTGTGACAAAGTTTCGCAGTCATACCCCATGGTTGGATGCCTCAAAACAAGCTACAAATTCAGCGGCCATAGTAGAGGAAGCTACGAGTGTCTGTTTAACACTCTTCCAAGAAATAGCTCCTCCGGCCAACAAGTAGACATAAACTGACGTGGATCTTTTACTATCTTGGCATCCAGCAAAATCAGAGTCAGTTTATCCGACGATCTCTAATTCATCTGACCTCCGATATGTAAGCATATAATCTTTAGTTCTCTTTAAATACCGTAAAACCCTCTTGGCTGCTTTCCAATGATCCATTCCAGGATTGCTCAAGTATCTTCCTAACGCTCCCACTATAAATGCTATATCAGAGCGAGTACAAACCTGGGCATATATAAGGCTTCCTACTGCCGAAGCATAAGGTACCTTTGTCATTTCTATCATCTCAAGCTTACATTTAGGGCATTGGGCAAGACTAAACTTGTCTCCCCTAGATATGGGCGTATCTCCTGACGTACAATCCTTCATGCCAAATCTATTCAAAATCTTTTCAATGTAGGCCTTTTGTGATAACCGTAGGATACTTTGAGCGCGATCTCGAAGTATTTGTATTCCTAAGACAAAAGATGCATCACCAAGGTCTTTCATCTCAAAATCTTTAGTGAGAAGTTTCTTGGTTTCATGCAATAAGCCTATATCGCTACTGGCAAGTAAGAGATCATCAACATATAATACCAGGAATATGAATTTACTCCCACTGAACTTGTGATACACACATTCCCATGTGCGTTTTACAAATTTTCGTGCTTTTTAAACATTTTCATATATATTTTCCTTTTCCCCTGCCTATTCTTTCTAATTTAGTATGTATTATCGGTCCGTAGAGTCAAAATATATGAAAATTCGCATTCATTGCACTAAGCAACTAGTTATGTAAACGAGCCTATCATTATATCTTAACACCTTAAAATATTAGGTTCATAAATATGGATAAGAAGAAACTACTGACAAAGAATTATAAATGGGGATAAATTATATCGTGAATAAATCCAAGATAAAATATGTACATTAGTAACTGTCAGCAAAGTGGCATTATTCCTGTCAAAGCTTCCTAGCTATTCTAATTTCTAATCAGATTTAAAAATTGTAAGTCTGGGAAATAATTCCCAAAAAAGTCATCCTAACATCAATCAAAATTTTATACAAATCTTTTACTCTTCCCTCAATAATCTCAACCACATCCTCCAATTCCCTGCAACTTATCTTTAGTCTCTCAACAGCATATTTCATCTCCATTTCCCTTTTACCCTTAATCTGCTCCTTCAAATCTCGAGCTGCAGTTACTGTCTGCTGCAACTCATTCATCAACAAACAATATCTCCTTTTCTGCAGCTTCTTCTCAGCACTTCCTTCTGCTTGCTTTGCCAACTCCAGAACCAACTTCAACCACGAAGAACTAGTAGGCTGAGACTGTTTCATTGTGGGGAAGAATCCACTTTTTGAATCAAATGAAAGACCAATTTCAAGAAACCTGCAACATAACAAGGCCATGGCCTTAGAACCACACATGATCTCATTGAGTTCTGTTTCATGACATAGCTTTTGCTTCAACAATTTCTTGAAACAAGAGCCAACACGGTTCCCCATTGATTTGCATCTCTTTTCTATACTTTGACATGACTCCAAAAGTTCCAATGCACGCGTTGCTGCCACAGCATTAGGCTTGGCACTACCACTATCAACCAAATGTACAACCACTCTTAGTGAGTCCACATACTCATTGATGTTCTCCATTTTGTCCATAAAGTAATTGCATGCATCAAGAATCTCAACGTTTTCTTCTAGGTACTTATCAACAGCCCCACGGTCAGCATCATCTATATAAGAAATGTTCACAAAAGAATCCAAGGCAATTTTCTGAGTGGTGATGGCAGCATCAAGCAACTGAGCTAATCCAATTTCACCACCATCAGTGCCTTGTGACCTAAGGTTGTCAAGCTCTGCCGTGAGTTCCCGGTCGAATCGGGTTTTTTCCGGCAAAGGGGCCACCGCCACGGGCAGCACCCTTGGCTGAAACTGCCTTAAGGTGAAGCTCCTTAACATGGCTGGTGCTCTCATGGTGTGCAATGCTTCTATTTGTTTTGATATATATTCTAAGAATAGAAACATAACATATATAGACCCAATGACCAATTGAGAATGTGGTACACTTTGAATATATAGAGTTCAAAAGCAAACCAAGAAGGACACGTGTCGATATTGCATCGAACATAAACAACTCAAAGTGAATCTGACCATTATAAATATCACAATCACATTTTTGTCTTCTGGCTGCAAATTGGTGTCCGAGACATTGAAGGAAAAGGGACAGTGTGGGACCAATTTAATTGAAGTTTATTACTTTGATACCGTTGAATGGAGTTTAGGAGGGTCCCACGTATCTTTGATTTGCGGTGAAGCAAATAATTGGGTGACAGTTTTGGTTCATTTTCATGTAACTGAGCTGTAATGAGAGTGCGTGGTGTAGCAGGACAGTACCACGTACTACTCATCTACCACTGTGAACGACCCACCTGGCTTCAAGAATTTTGCATTGCTTCCAATTATTGGGGCACCCTTTTCCATAATATCATTGAATACTTGAATGTTTAAACTATTCAAATAATATATATTAACTTTATTCCCTAACATGTCTCTGTAACAAAACCCTTCAATTATTATTGAAGTCACTTAACATCAAGCGCCTCTTAAATTATTTTCAACTAAAAATGTCTTTCATTTGTAGTGACATCATTATCCAATTTGTTGGGAATTCATTGGGGATGAGATATGGTAAAAGATTGTCTTGTTATAGGTTGTCCCATAATTCATTGGTGCGTGAATTGTAATTTTCCTTTAGATGTTGAAGTGTGATGAAATTTTACATGAACCCGATACTTTAAATTTTTTATTAAGATATAATATGTGATCCACTTATTAAGATTAATATAACTTAGGGATTATATTTTCTTATGCAACATGAGATAAGATATCTCATGTTACACTCACAAACTTAGGTGGGTCTCATTGCATAGAAAAAAGAGAAAAAGAATTTGAAGTGGGTCTCACGTCTTTTTGAGTGTGTAAGAGAGACTTATTGTCTCCTATTACATGAGACTAATATTTCCCTATAACTTAACACATTAATGATGGTTCATAAACTTCCTTGATAGCTAGTGACACTTTTTTATTTTCAGCTCGTTGGCCGCATAATACAAATAATTAAAAGGAGTTTGCATTTGTCATTTAACATGACACAACAAACTTTTCTACACACACAACATTTTGTGGGCCCACACTTTTTGAAGAAAAAAGAAAATTACGGCACGCAAAACGAATCTCTATAACATTACACAATCATTTTTCCTACAACATAACTCTTATAAAACCCTAATTAAAAACTTGAATCTACTAAGACTCGCTAAGTTAACTCAATGTTGAGCAGCATAGAATATGCTCTTGAATGGTAGGCATCAAAGTGGTGATTCGAGTCGACAGCATACAACACAAACATAAAAATACAAATAAGATATAAATTTGAAATTCGGTTAAAACCTCTGACACAAACACGATTTCACTTATTTTACATGTTGATATAATAAGACATGAATAACACACAACATCAAAGTATGTTGCTTATTATGCAGGTTGGCACGACACAATACGAATAACTTATCAATTCTAACGTGTTACTTATTATGTGAGTTGACATGACACGATAAGACACGAATAATTTATTTACGACAAAACACAATAACATGTAAGAATATTAATGCAGATTATTTTTGGATTCGCGAATTGACAAACAACACAACACGAAATTTTTTATATCAATTTTTGTCAACACGAATTTAAAAAAGTATCAATTCTAATACAAATTTTCATATATATAAGCAAATCGTGTTGAAAATTATAACCCGTAATAAGCACTTAACAAATATTTCAGGGATGACTATTAATTAGCCGAAAGGGTCCAATTTTGCTGGATTTGGTTAAAGACAACATGGACCCAAACTTTGAGAAAGATATATAGATGTAAATAATATAAAAAGTAAACTGTATGCTGTGAGGATGACAACGAATAATGCTGCTTAATTAATTTGGAAATGTAAAGAATAGAAGCATGTTCATAAGGTAATTTATTGGTAACAAGAAGAAGCAGCTACTCACTCACTCTGACGTTGTCACCATTGAAATCCTCCACATGGCATGCACCGCGAATCCAACATTTGTTTACGTTGTCCCTCTGTTGGCCACGTTTGAGATGGACAACATATTTTATATATGTACATTTTCAATGTTATTCGTGTAGAGGGTGCCTGCATTCAAAGTCTTATCTTTGGTTATCCCTTACAACTTCTTAATTAGCCACTCGAAAAAGGGCAAAATATCTTTGATATATGCACATAGATATTAAGAATATCGCGAGCCGCTCAAGGAACCATTCACAATTATGAGCATCTATTGGATTATTAAAATAAAAAATTGTACCATGAAGGTCAGTGCCCTCTTTTTTCAATAGAAAACAAGAAAATTATAAAATAATTAGCAAAAGTTGTTGAAGGAAATACATTTGCATATATATGATGAAAAAGAGTAGTAATAAGAAAATAATTCATTCCATATCTCATAATTGAAGCTATAAACGTCTCTGAAGTACAGCAATTTGTACAACAGCCTTCTCAAGCGACTAATGCATGCATATGAATTTAAAAATAGTTTCTTAACATTTTGGATTTGAATTAAGATCTCAAAATCCATCGGTAAGATATTGAACTATTGGCATGTCCTCTTTATACCTAACCTGTAACCTTTTGTTTCAGCCTTTTGCTTTTGTGCCTTGTGGTAACAGGTGCATGATTCTTTAGCAGTTCCATATAATTTCTCTGTTGCTTAATCAAGGTTTTTTTTTAATTAAAAAGAGTACTTTAAAGAAAAGCTATCTCGTTGTAAAATTATAACATGTCAAAGTTGTAGCAAAGACAATGAAAATCAGACCTAAACATTTCCGACCAAGTGCTTCAATCTTAACGAGTTGAATGGGTTTTTTTATTTTATTTTGGTACAATCAATCACGGTTTTTCATTATGCATTTTACACGCTTCTTTTAAAAAAATTTACTCTTGAACTTTAATTAAGAAAGACAAAAATTATATATATTTTTAGATAAACCACATGTATCCTCTACGGAAGGTAATCCTATTCGAGGAGGAACATTCACATCATGGTAGGACTAGTTCTCCCAGAGTAAATTTTTTGCATTCACAATAACTTGATCCCACGATTTTACTTAAACGGAATTAAGTATGTACCACTTAAACCAACCATCTTCAGTAAAATTATCACTTTTATTTAGTTCCTCTAGATGGAATCCAACTTTAGCAATATATGAAATTTCGAGTATATATTAAGAATGTCACAATTAATAGATTCACTATATTATAAGAATAAGGGTTCACTGAATATTCTTTTAAAGAACACAAGTTATGTCCTTTTAGCAATTTTAACTATGCATTTTCGGGAATACATAGTTATAATATTAAAATTTTATTTTTTTCTCTCTTCAAAAGCTGTCTACTGACGTAAAAAGTGAGAATAATATAGCTTTAATATTATAACTATGGATTTTATAAGAGTTATGTTGTAGGAAAAGTGATTGTGTCATGTTACTGAGATTTGTTTTCCGTGCCTTAGTTTGTTTTTTTGCTTCAAAAAATATGAGCCCCACAAAATATTGTGTGTGTAAAAATTTTTACCATGTCATGTTAAAGTACAAATGAAAACCTATAACTATACATTACATAATTAAAATCTGTTAAAAAGACGCCCATTTTTCCCATAAGAATAATGTTTGAGAAGATAATTTGTAATAAAGAGTCTTGAAAATCTTATAAGGCAGGCCATGATTAGAACTTTGAATATTGTAATCGATCAGCTGATAGATGTGGGCTAACACTATCATTATTGTAATTGATTCAATGGACCTATCGTACGACAAAATGTATATAATTTTTTATGCATTATTACTAGCAGGGGATGATGCATTATGCATGTATGTGAAGATTTAAATTTGGTTTATTGATGATAATTAATTATTTAGTGCAGCATTTATCTAATTTTTGCTCCTCTTCTCTTAATTAATTACTAACTAACGTAAAACTCATCACACACATTTCTCCCTCAAGGGTGAAATCCCAAATTTGCCACACAATATAAACTTTATATATATATATATACATATATATATAGGATGAGATCAATTTACATAAGAATAATAAGTATTACATCAAATTTTAACTGTTGATTTTTGTGAACGTAACAGTTGTGATTTATTTGAAATTAATAATCAATTAATATGTATGACTCAATAAATCATAATCGTTGAATTAACAGAAAGTAACGGTTAAGATTTAGTGTAAGACTTATTATTCTTACATTTATATAAGTTAATCATGTCCACACATATATATATATATATATTATATATAAATTATCCAAATGGCTTAGTATAAGCTTACGTTGCACCCTTTCTAGTGAATATGTTTTATCTTTTCCTCAAATTCAAATTTACATAAATATGTAAAAAAAAAAATCCTCATAATCTTTTCTTTGAAAGTCAGAAAACTGTTTTAACTTTTTTTTAAAAAAAAAATTAACATCCAAACATACACATAAGTTGAAAAAGCACATTATTTATTAAAAAAAAAATTAAGGGAAAAAAAGTTCCATCCGACTCTTCGTAAGAAACCATTTTCAAAAATATCATTCTCCTTACGGGCTTCCTTTAATTTGCAAGTGTGACAAAAGCCAGAGCCCAGACCCAAACTATCAAATATCAAAGGCGACACAAAGAATCTCTTTCAGTCCAGCCATCGAGTGATAATTTTCACTCCCCTATAACAATTAAAATAAGTCACTCACTCGTTCATAGAATTAAAAAAACAAAGGGATCTCACCTCGTAGAGATAAATTTGTAGGTTCACCATCTGGAAAAAAAAAAAAAAATAACATTGTTATCAAAAAATGTGTAAAAGAGAAAATTTATCTAATGTAATACGAGAATAATTTCTTTCATAATTATTATATTTAAAAAAAGGGGTTTATAAATGTTACTTCGCACGAAACAACAAAATATCCTACTCTGACTCATCGATCTGTGGAATCCTTTTTTTTTTGTGTTTACTTTTTTTTTTAAAATGACTTAAGTGTAAATGATATATAATATTTTCTTTATTTTACTTAAAAAAATTATAATATAAACATTTTGAAAATTCTATTCACCGTATCCCTTATTGTGTTGCTTCTATTCACCGCCGCTCAGCTTCGGTGACCTCTTCCGCTTTAGTCCTCTGTTCAGGTTACCGATATCCCCATTTTCTGTTTCGCAATTTTGAGTGTAAAGTTATTATCTTTTTTATTTTATTTTATTGACATATAGTGTTTCCCTTGTGTTACGAATTTGAACCTTATGTGTGTGTATGATGCTTGATGCTTAATCACAGATTACATAGCCATTGTTCTAGTTCTAAGTGGGTCTTCCACCTACCATACAATACAATACAATACAATACAAGCTTGTTCCTTGTGCTGAAGCCTGTTGAATTGGTTATCACTAGTTCTAAGTTGCATACAAAGTCAACAGGGCCTTTTGCAGAATAAACACTTATTATACTCTTACAGGGTTCAAATTTACATGAAACTTTTCAACATTTGCTTCCTTTACATATCAGAATTCTGATAATCAACTTTAACATTTGACTGCTTATTGTTGTCATTGCTACAATTTATTTTCATAATAATTCCTTTTATTTGTTTTCCTGATTAGACATCTAATGCTGCAGATATTAACTTGGTTACTTGGGTCCAAGATTTGTGTAATCTCTGTCATGGCAACTAGTAAGTAATGAGACATATAAATTTTTCGTAGTCTGTATTTGTTAAATAATTAATATCTAATATGAAGCTATATGGTTTTCTTTTGTGGAAAAATTTTTCTTTCTCTAAATCTTTGATTATGGGTTTCCTGCAGGACTTCAGTTTGAGAATTCTTGTGAAGTTGGAGTCTTCTCAAAACTTACCAATGCATATTGTTTGGTTGCGATTGGAGGTTCCGAAAACTTCTACAGGTTTTTATTCTTTTTGGACTAATACGTTCCCCAGTAGATTTTGGTTTATTTGTGGTTGGTTTCAAATGGATTGAAATTTGCCATAATGGTTTGGTAGATGAATAAATTAATGTGTTGTTTGATACAGTGCATTTGAGGCTGAGTTAGCAGATGTTATCCCTGTGGTCAAAACCTCCATTGGTGGCACTCGTATTGTTGGTCGTCTTTGTATTGGTAAAGTTTTTTCCCTTGGTTTCTTAAATCTTAATGAGTATCAGTACAGTCCTTGCCTTGGACTATATCAAGGCTGTGAAGAGATGGTTGCATGCTCTTTCTTTCTCCGTCATTGACATATTTTCTTCATTTAGTAAAAGAATAAAGATATGGTTACATCATTTTCTTGTATTTATTGATTTATCTTTTATTAGATTACCTATTACCTAATGAACTTACCTTTCTATTGGTTTGCAGGAAACAAGAATGGGCTTCTCTTGCCCCATACCACCACAGACCAAGGTAAATCCTATTATTATGTTATATGTTTGGTTTCATTTATAGTTTTATTTGATGCCATTCTGTTAGTTAATGATTGATGGTTCATCTGCCATATCAATTATCTTCATGTTTTGTAATGGGAGTGAGAATGACTAAAAGTTAGTGCTTTAGTCTTTGATTTTGGTATGTCATGGCCTCATAGATGCTTGGTTGTCACAGCTTATTTTATTTTTACAAAATAATTTGTCTTTTAATCTGTTGAAAAGGATTTTGCAGTAGGGTATAAGTGCTAAGCACTAATGTGATACTGTTCATCGTTTGCCTCCTTCCACAACAGTATAAAGAGAAATTTTAATGACTGAAGAATTAGGAGCTACTTTGGTATCTAAGATCTCTAGTTCCCGTTTCTGTCTTAAAAAGTAAAAACTATTCATCCATACGAAGGAACTCTTACAATGTTGCTTGGTATTTGAACGGTGATTTGAGTGCAATTAGCATTGATGAGATGGTGAACAATTTTATGTATGATGAGAACCGTTTCTGTGACTTCTGTATAATTGTAAGTGATAACCTTAATTAAAATACCAGATTAATCACCAAATTATATACAGGGTACCCTGCTTTGATGGTTGTCTAGAGGCCTATTCTGTTATCCAGTGGCCAAAAGATTCGGAAAACTTTTGTTTGCCTGGAAATATCTGGGATCTTTATCAACACCCTGGGTATAGGCCTTTCAACATTTTTTCATATTTTGCTGGGTTTGATCAGTCCATCAATCTCCTTTCGTACAAATATGCTCCAAGGTGTGGACTGTCTAGGATTATTAATTAGTAAGGTGTGGGCTGTCTAGGATTATTAATTAGTATTATTTTCCTCTTATATGACATATCTATTGTTTCATCTTTGTTGGTGTTGTGATTTTGTACTGACTTATGGTACTTTCTATCTTTTTGCCATGGCTATTGGTGAAGAACTTCAACATTTGAGAAACAGTCTACCTGATCAAGTTGTTGTTCAGCGCATAGAAGAAAGATTATCCGCTCTGGGAAATTGTATAGCATGTAATGACCATGTGGCCCTAACACACACTGATCTTGACAAGGTATTGTTTATTATAGATTATTGCTTTTTTTGTTCCTATGCTGATCTTTTATACTTATCTCGGATTGGAAATTGATTTCGAGGACACTCAATTTTTATGTTAAACATGGATGCTGAATAAAGAAGTGGACAAGCTGTCACATACCTAGTGCTTGCCCTTCTGGATCTGATCACTTAAAAATTTTAGGTTATGCACTCATGTAAACTGAAAATTGTTTCTTGAAAAGAATAGACTAATTTTCATTGAAAAGTTTGCTGTCATGTATGGTAAGATTACGTGATTTGACCACCTTATAATCTATGTGACCCCTATTATTCATTTTTATTGGAATGTGGATATGCGTTCAGGGTTGTATATTATCTACATAATCCAAGTACTTCATCTTTTATCAAAAAGAAAGAGAAACTTATTTGAATAGCTATTAAACTTTTTGTCCCACTTGTTGTTGGCATTGAGTTAAACATGATGAGGAAAACTTGAAGCTTATGTAGGTAGGTAACAAATGCTGGTTTTGTGAATTAAACAAATCCTTACTTTTTACTTAAATTGTCATGTAAGATGATTCTTTTTGTTAAGGGCATTATATTAAGGCTTCTTTATGTCCACCAAACTGTTCTCTTATTGTGATACGAGTAGGGTTCGTGTCTCATACAATAGTTATTATTAACACACTGCCTTTTATACCAAAAAAATAAAAACACGTTTATATTGCGGCTTTTTAAAAGGATTCTTGGCCGGCTCTTGTATTCACTGAAATTTTTGTTCAGGAAACTGAGGAAATGATTGCAGATGTTCTTGGAGTAGAAGTTTTCAGGCAGACTATCGCGGGTAATATTCTTGTTGGCAGTTTCTGTGCCTTCTCCAACAGAGGTGGTTTGGTAAGTACAAGACATGTTCTCTTGAATATCATAATTTAAATATCTATACTGTCTTTTGACCATAAACTTGGTGCAGGTCCATCCTCATACTTCCATTGAAGACTTGGATGAACTTTCTACACTTCTTCAGGTTCCTTTGGTTGCTGGGACTGTCAATCGCGGTAGTGAAGTAATAGCTGCTGGCATGACAGTAAATGATTGGACAGCATTTTGTGGTTCAGACACCACAGCAACTGAGCTCTCTGTGATTGAGAGTGTTTTCAAGCTGAGGGAAGCCCAGCCTAGTGCCATTGTGGATGAGATGAGGAAATCCCTCATTGATAGCTATGTATGAGTTTTGGTAATAGGATTCACTTTTCATACGATATTGTATTGCTTATTGCTAAGATATTTAAGTTTGGTGATAGTGTTTTTTTTACCTGGTAAACAGTTTGGCTAGTAGTTTGCCTTCTTAAATATGAACGCATATTTCAATCAAGAATTGTATGTGATATCTTTTACTTTAATTTGTGGTTGTCATCCATAAATCAAAGGCGAAATATATGTGCTCTTACGATGCATGGACTCTCATGGAGTTACGGTGGTATAAATAAACTATTTAATAAAGCCTCTGGTTAATTGGAAGCAATCATATAATTATTAAACTAGATTTTAGCCTTAATAGAGCTGTGTTCATATTATTATTATTTTTGAGATAAATCAACATAAAACTAAATGATTTTCTTTACAATAAAAGTGAATTTTTTTTTTATTTTCCTGTTTAAAAAAATTGACAGAATTCATTTTTGTCCACTAATGCATGCGCTGATCAAAATAAAAATTACAATATACTAGTAGAGTTACGCTTTTTTTTCGTAAAAAAAAAAAAAAAAACGATTTATAAAAATTGAAGCATTTAATATTTGTAATCATTTGTCACCTGCTTGGGGAAAATATTGCTTGTCAACGTCACATTTCTTGTGAGTACTTATCAGATATTACTTACCCACCAATTTTTAGCCGCTATCCTCTGAAGTCAAAATAACACAACTAACTTTCAGTGTCCTACTGACAGCTATTTCGTGATCGGCTTTTCAACAGGTCAAATAACATTTAAAATTTTCATGAGTACGTAACCAAAAAATAAAAAATATGTACAATAATTTTCTTTGAAAGCTTAGATATTACGATGGTTAATTGTCTGAAAATCTGGGTTTCCATTAGTCTATGACCCATATTGAACCTGTTATGGATACTCTCCTTAGGCCCACCAATTGAATCCAATTTCTAAAAGCTCACATCTAGAGCCTTCTAGAAGACACCCATGGCAAGCCATAGAGGCTCACCACTGGAACATTTCCCTTTCCTGCACAGCTGCCCCTGTACATTGACAATGGACAGCATGTCATGTCTTGTCTCAAGACAAGACATGACTTGATGAGACAACTCTTGGGACTGACCAGCTCACTCTCTCATGCTAGAAAGGACTCTCCTCACTAAATACATGAGAAGCTTTACGAGTTGTTACTCACTCCTCTCCTATGTTGTTACTCACTCCTCTCCTATGTTGTTACTCTGCCTCGATGCAGAGCCATTCAAGCCTCGCACACACTCTCTCTTAATGCACATACATGAGAAGCTTTACGAGTGCTTTGATCTCTATCAAAGCCACTGTGGACACCCCCTATATCAACATACTTCACCCTCCATAGAACACATCTTACGTATCACTATCGGTACTGAACCAATGAAGAAAAACCGACAGATGAGTCTTAAAGCTTCTCAGACAGAAACTGAAAATCTGAAATCAGACGCAAGAAGCCAGAAACAATGCAACCTTAAGTTGTGAAACCGAAAACTTTTACAGCGGCATTTGGACAAAATCTCAACTATGGATAGAAAAATAATCAATAAAGCAAATGTCATCTAAACCATCAAAACAGTATAACGCACAAAACAACAGCCAACCCAAACAAATAATAGTAATTAGATTTAAAAGCTTATCAGGAACCTAGCACATCTTCAACTCTACGTCAAAAGGCAATCTCGGTTATGTTCTCAGTCAGGAAGAATTTGCTCACTGTCAGCATCTGCCTCAGTCTCAACCTTAGGCTTTGAAGAAGCCTGGCCTGCTCCAGGGGCTTGCTTCTTCTTGATCCCACTCACAACATCATCAATCCGCAGAAGCATGCAAGCAGCTTCAATGGCAGTCTTAAATGTTTGTACCTTCACATTGTATGCATCCCAGATCTAAAATCATGTTGGAAGAAAAAATATTTAGAGTTTATTCCCTCACATATGCTTATCAAGCTAACCAAGCATCCGTATATTACTTGAAACGAGATATAGAGGATGTAAATCTTATATAAGTGGGTGCAATGGGAAATAAACAAGGCATTTCTTCACTGTGTTATCTCTTTTGGGAATAACTGAAACACGTTAGATTTAATTCAAAAGTGATGTGATTTGGGAATTATTTACATTGTATACGGAATAAAAGAAAATTAAAGCACCTTGGACTCTTTCATGTCGGAGATGGCACCGGTATTTCCATCTATGCCAACCCATGCATTTTCTCCATTTGCATGCTATAATTCAAAAACAAAATGTTAAACAAAATCAGAGAAAGAATCATCTACAAATGTAGTTGCAAATATTCTTACTTTCCCTTGTAGTGCTGTCATAGTCCGGATGACATTTACACCACAATTTTGTGCCAAAGTACGTGGTATCGCCTCAAAAGCAATAGCAGCAGCTTCATACGGCCACTGTTGGTCAACAAGAATATGAAAGTGAGAATGAGTAAACTACTGTAATGAGACAGAAATAAGAACTAGCGTCCACCTTAGATGTATGAGTATATAGAACCCCGTTGAAACAATGGCTATTACACTCACCTTCTCTATGCCTTGAACAGATGAACTCTTTTGCTTCAAAGTTGCTGATACAGTCAACTCTGTACCACCACCTCCAGGAACAAGTTTTGGATTTTTTATTATGTTCCTTGCAACAGACATGGCATCCTGTCATGGAAACAAGCTTCAGAAAGCAGTGATAAAATCTGAAAGCCAAGCTCTCAGTAGAAAGCAACAGCTTACCTGGAGGTTTCTTTCAACTTCATTTAAGAGATCTTTGCTAGCACCCCTCAATAGTACAGTACAGGCCTTAGGGTCTTTGCATTCAACAATATATGCAAAGAACTCATCTCCAATTTTCTTAACTTCAAATAACCCAGCGCCAGTACCAACATCAGACTCCTGTAATTCATCTGGTCTATTCACAATAACAGCACCAGATGCTTTAGCAATTCTATTATTATCAGTTTTTCTCAGCCTTCTGATTGCACTAACTCCATGCTTGCTCAGAAAATGGCATGCCAAATCACTAAGGCCCTTCTCTGTAATAACTAAATCTGGTTTAAACTTCAATATCTGCATGCAAAGCTCCTCGATGTATTCCTCTTCCAACTTCAACAAGAGACTCCAGTCTTCTTCTTTGAGCAGTTCAGCATTTGTTTGATTTTCGCCCTTTTTATACTCAAGGGGACAATCAAGAAGAATGATACGTGGATTGACAATCTTTCTCCTCATTTTGCCAGGGGCAACCACATCTTTGTTTATCATAACTCCTTTAAGAACTTTTGAATCCTCCAGCTGCCCACCAGGGACCTTCTCAACCTTGATATAATTTTTAATGTCTACATCTCTCAAACCTTGGCCAAGATCAACACCTACTGTGGTAGTAGCATCGATAGCTAAATCCTGAAAGTTAACCAAAGTTGAATATGTAAAATACAATTCAACAGATATAGAATTGTTAACCTGTTGCATAAAACTACAATAATCATCAGCACTTACAGTAGCCTAAGGTTTTAATCCTTTTCACTGACAGTAAATGATAAACTGAAGATGAATAAAAGCCAAAGTAAGGCAATCATTTTGCTACTTCTTTATTTGCTATATTTGCATGTAACTGGACAAATTTTATAGAAGAAAATACATTGGAGCCATAGTTGTCAGTAGCAGTTAGCGGCCGATAGCGGCCGACCCCGAAAATGGTATATCGGTGTAGCGGGTAGCGGTATTGCCGCTACGGTGAAGTATTAATTCTATATATATTATACTAACAGTCAAGAAACGAGGCAATACCGCTTTTAGTATTAATGCTCAAACATAAGAAGTCACACAAAATCAAACACATAATTCCACAATCAATGTCAAATACAAGGAACATAAAGGAAGGATCCAAAATTAAACACAACTGAACAATAAATTTGTCAAATTGTCAAGTACAAGAAGTGAACTAATGAAGAAAATCATCATCATCTCCAGATTCTCCATCAAATTCCAACATGGGAGTGGTGTAGCGGTGTAGCGGTATTGCCACTACGCTACGCCGCTATCTTCCGCTATGGCCAATGTCGCGTAGCGTCGCGGTTTGTAGCGGCCGACCGCCGCTATCCGCTACGGTAGCAGTTCAGCGGCGCTACGGGCCGCTACTGACAACCTAGACTGGAGCTATAAATGCATATAGATGAGGCACCTCAGTTACTCCATAGTCCCGCCTATACCAAGATAACTCAACCTTGACTAGAAGCCAAACACTTAACGTGAGAAACGAACAAACAAATTGTATTTATAAAAATAACATTTAACTTAAGTTTTTATGGAAAATTTCATTTCTGGTTGAACAACATGTATGGTTGACAACTTATATCATTGTCACATTTCCTTTCAAGTAACACTAAAAGGATTAAGACCATTTATTTAGGGTTTTAAGAATATCCATAAGCCAAAATAAAGATAATATATAAAAGAACAAAGATGACCAATTCGAAAATCTTGGCTATAGAGTAGAGGATACTCACAGCAATTAAATCTCCAAATTGACTGGTGAACTTGGTACCAATGCAGCTTTTAACTAGCCCCAGCATTGTACCTCCTGCAGTTTTATCCACAATTCCACATTAAGATATTTTATCAAAGAAGAAACTAAATGGAGGTAATTATGTATCTTCTCTACTCAATAGATGAATTCCATTAGATTAAATAACCCAAAAAATTAAAAGCAAATCAATCTAACATGAAGTCAAGAAGCTCAATCAAGCAATTCCCCTATGGCAGGTAAGATGGCTGCACTGATACTTAACTGCCTTTAAGCCACATTTACTAAGCCATTCTGCTATGCATGTATCACCTTGACATCGCAAAGAACCACCTACTCACCAAATTAATAATCAAATAATGCCATTTTGTTGATAGTGCACTTTTTTTTTACCAATAGCCTTCTCGATTTATCATAATGTCTCTACGAATTGCAAGGGGATTCCAGCAAACCCACTTCGATAACGGTCTAACGTGCTATTTAAACAACCTACTTAGACACTTCTACAAACCAGTGGATTATATAGTTGAAAAGGTTCAGTTCAATGTAAATAATTGCAAATTATTAGGAGATGGAAGGATGTTACTCTCCCTCCCCGAAAAAAAGTAGCAGCAAACTTACTATCCTTGGCATCAATGGGCATTGCAATTTTGTCAAGCACAGCAATGGCATCCTCCAGAGCTTTGTTATAAGCTGCAGATAACATTATAGCAGTTATCATATACAATCCGATATCCTTTTAGAAAAGAACCATTGATAAATACTATAAATTACCTCGGCAAATAACTGTAGGATGGAAATTCTTGTCAATGAATGCTTCAGCAACATGGAGCATCTCACCAGCTGCAAATATATACAAGATATTGAAAACGGGGGCAAAAGAACCCATTGCCCAATAAATCAAATAATGATCTGCTCCTTCATTAAGTACACAATAAAACCTAGAATTCAACACTTATGATTCATGACTTGGTTTAGCTGATGTCTGGAACATTTCCCCTTTGAATTTAATCTCATAATCACATTATTAACCATTAAAATGAGATTTCCAGAATAGGTTAACATGGAGTACAGCACAAGATGACAATTCATTATTTAAAAAAAAAAGCATCTACATATGCTCAAAACATACCAAGAATGATAACAGATGTTGTTCCATCTCCGACTTCTTCGTCTTGGGTGCGACTCAATTCAATCATAGACTGCAACCATCCAAATAAGAGAGCAGTATTAGAAAATTACAGGCCAAACAGCAACTAAACCTTAAAAATTCAATGCAAAAACAGAAAGTGGTGCTTTCACAAAAGACAAGGTCGGGAGAGCAATATATAATAGTATATATGCATGGCAAGCAAATATCAATGAGGTGAAGTGAAGGGGATAAAACATGCCTTTGCAGCTGGGTGAGCAATATCTAATTCACGCAAGATAGCATTTCCATCATTTGTCACCACAATTCCTATTAATTACAAGGAACATGAGTGTCAGACAAATACTTAGAAACACAATCCATGCAGATAAGTCATTGTGGTAAACACTAATTAAAATACAAGTTCCATGTCAGAACTTATACGTAACAATGTCCCACACCGTCCAGAAACTGTAGTTACTAAAGAAACAAAATTTTCAGATTGCCATAAGCAATAAAAATAAGTATACTTACTCATGCATTCAAGACATAAATCAGGAAATAATTTTATCTTCACAAATTAATTTTAAAGAAGGGTAAATGGTTTACAAGAATCATCAATAAACGAGTCACAAAATAATTTAAAAGATGAATACACTAACCTCCCGAAGCATCAAGTAGCATTTTTAACATGGACCTGGGTCCCAAGGTTGTACGAATTATGTCAGCAACAGCCTGATAGATACAAAGCATATTAGAAACACCAAATGATGAGCACTAGAGAGTAGACAACAAGATAGACTACATGACTGAAAGCAGACAATCTATTAATTAGTTCAAAGTTTTAGTGTAAATACACATTACTTATCACAATATTTACTTTACGGAAACCATGACATGTGCATGGATGCATGGCCCTCCCAAAAAAAGGAGAAAACAAAAGCATACAATAACTATTTTGGAACTTTGGAATTGTACGTAAAAAAACATGAAGAGCTTGTAAATAACCTTGGGATACACCACCTCAAAAGCTAGCTCAAGGGGTGGGAGTGCCCAAGGCCTTATAAAGGCCATATTAGTTTCCCATCCAATCAATGTGGGACTATATATCTCAACACGCCCCCTCACGCAAGAGCCCTTTCGGCTAGAAGCGTGGAAATTGCACAGGCCCATTTTTGGTTTACCTTTTTGTGCTTTTTTTTTATTTTAATTCCACTTTTTAAAGCGGGGGATGGTGAGGCTCTGATACCATGTAAATAACCTTGGGATACACCACCTCAAAAGCTAGCTCAAGGGGTGGGAGTACCCAAGGCCTTATAAAGGCCATATTAGTTTCTCATCCAATCAATGTGGGACTATATATCTCAACAGAGCTCAAGCCAAATATACGAGCACAATCCAGAACCTACAAATCTTGGAAGCAGAACCCTGAAAATATAAACTTATAAAAACAACTAGGAAATCAAACTTTCAAATTTCAGGGTATGATGATTACAGTCACTTTTAATGAATGTCAGATAAGATGGAATTAGAATTGTTCTCCAAAGGTTAGTCATGTTGCTTCATTAGATTCTAAACTATAATCTTTAATAAAGATGGTTATATATTGATGTAAAAATTTAATTAAAAAGAAACACAGAAATGACCACTTTACAGTTTACAAACTCTTAAGAGTAACAGTGTGTAGTATGAGATGCACCTTTTCGAGAAAGATAAAAATTCAGCTTACCCAAGCAACTTATTTCCCTTAATGACAATAGTTAGAAATCAAATCACTGTAGAAAGCCTCTCTTAACGCTTGTTTCTATGGTTTAGAGGTTAAATTTTTATAAAAGGATGAATCTTTACAAAGTAAACTGTCAAGAAGAGAAACACGAAAAAATATAAACCAGCATCATAATAGTTAGTAATAGTAATATGTTATACCTTTGATGCTTGAATATTTGCATGCTGCACCTTGCTTCCAGACTCACGTTTCAAGGAGTCCTCTGCCCAATGTCAATATGCATTTGATGAGTGAATTGATAAAAAAAAATAAAACATACATGCTAAAAATGCACCGCATAAGACTTGTCTTAATTTAATGAACATAAATCAGGTTACAAGCAAAACATGAAACTTCAGTGGACCACAGGAGAAAAGAAAAATTAAAAATAATCAAACCGAAGAAAGTTTCAAGCAAAACAAATAACAGTTTCGGCGAAGTCTTTTCAACGGATTTGGATTAATTTTATTTTTTTTCTTCTTAAAAAATTACTGTCCACACAGATAATGCTAGATTACTGCAATTTAAAAAATGACAGCGTTGTGTTCTTATGCAAAATGAGATGATGCAAATCCATTTACGAAGAAAGCGAATCCACGAGCGAAAGCGAAAGAAAGAAAAAACTTACTGAGAACTAGAACCGGCGACTGCATGATTTGGAGGTTGAAGGTTCGCTGTTACAGAAGCAAGTTATTAGAAACTAAAACACTGAAACGACAAAGGTTCAGTTTGAAGGTAGCAGATTCAAGTTCAAAAATATAAGAACGAAGAAAACGAATAGAGCCATGAATCGCAGATCAGAAATAAAAGTTACCTGATAAGATGCGGTGGCGAAAGTGGAGGAAGCGGCGGAAAGAGCGCTAGGGCACGGAGGCAAGAAATGATCGGTTTGCACGGCACAGAGTCACTTCAGAGTATACGTCTTCCGCCAAAATGTGCTACAACTAAAACCCTCCCAACACTGCCTTAACTCACTTTCGCATTTCTTTTCTCATTTTTTTAAAAAAAATTCTCTTTTTTAAAAATAGATAAATAAATAATATAATTTAGTTATTTGCACAAATAAATACTGGGTTTCAATTTTCTCAAAAATATTTCATGTTATGGACACGTATCACGTATGGATTTCATATTTATTAAAAAAAAAAAAAAATACTGTACGAAAATCAAAAAATTACTAACAGCAGAAAACAATTCTCCTAAAACATTTTCCCATAAATACCTGATACAACAAGCATTCCTAATCTTGAGGTGTTAGGATAGATTCACTGAGTTCAGTCTACTAGTAGTAGTTTAACTTTGTTACTTAGTTTTCAAAATATATATATAATCAAAATTTTATTATTTTTTCAAAAAAATAACAAGTTTTCTTATAAATTCATTTAATCCCAACATATAATTTGTTTTCTTAAGATCAAATAAATGGACTTAAGTTGACTAGTTGAAATCAAACTCAATTTAAATCAAATTAAATTGAAACAATCCCACGAATTTGAATGCATAGGATCTAATGTCACTAGAGAAACTATTAGAATGTTTTATAATAAATTATATGATGTCAAGTTTTTTATAATTTTTTCTTGCCTTCCTTCCAATAATATAAAATCCATTAAGGAAATCATATCAAGTTTGTAAGTTCTCGTGTGTAATGATGATGACAAAAAAAAATTTCCTTTTTCTAGTAGGGAAAATAAATATTAATAGAAATAATATTTCATAAAGTCGGATTATTTTTCTGTTTTAGATAATAAACCTGTGGTCCAATAACATAAATTTGACAAAAGGAAGAAATATTTTTTAATTTTTTATTTCTTAATATATTATCTGTTAAATGCATGTCATCTCTTCATGGGAGTACAAATAAATTGTATTATCAAATGTATTTTTTTTTCATAAATTTTTCAACACACATAAATAAAAAATATATATAGTATCTCCAGAAATCGGCCCACATAACGTAATGGTTGTCACTTGTCACTTTACCATAGATCTATCATAAAAATAACTTAATAAAAAAGAAACGATATGGAGGCCCAACAAACTTAATTAAAAAAAAAGTATCGAGGCCCAACAAACTTAATTAACCTAAGTCCAATACAAACAACACCCTCATGATCTTTTACTTCAAGCAACTTAATTAACCTATGTCCAATACAAACAACACGTGTGGTCATCCTCATGATCTTTTACTTCAAGCAGACTTGATAATTGCTTCACTTTTTCTTTTTTTTTGTGGAATAATTGCTTCACTTTTTTATCCAGGGCGGAATTTCATTGGTTGGGTTTACAATTTTTTGAGGGGTCTTAATATCAGTATTCTTTCTTTCATCCAACAGAGAATGTATCACACTATTTAATCTCCAATAAATTCAACAAAGGATCAATCTCTTTTTTTATCACCTCGTATAATTTTTTATTGTTATTGGATCAAAACTAAATGAACAAATTATAAAATAGGAACAAATAAAAATTATTCATTAAATTTTAATCCGGCGACAATAAAATGATTATAAGAAATTGTAAGAATTTTTTTTATAAATAAAACCTACCTATTTATCATATGATTCTTTCCTTAAACAAAAGTTCAATTATTTTAAGACTGACTTTAATAAATAAATCTCAATTATTGAAAATTCAATATTAACCGTTCAATTAATTTAAAATTGACTTTATTAAATAAATTCCAGTGATTGGTATAACACCTCATATTTCTAAACGTATGATTATATGTGATAATGTTGATTAAAGGAGTAGGATTAGGGAAAATCCTGAAATTAGGGCCAAAATACGTATAAAGAGCAAAATGATAATTTACCAAACACGTGACCCTAGGCAAAAAAAATTGAGTTGAAGGTCTCAAATGGTAAAAATAATGCCGGAAATGAATTCAAGATGAAAAATCGAGTGGATGGGCAAGTTTCGAAAAATTTGTTGAATAATGATTTTATCGGTGTAAAATGCTACGGTATAATTGTACCAATAAACGTGAAAATATGATCAGTATTCTTAGGAAGTAAAAATATGACGTGAACGAGAAAAATATGTAGGTTATGAATTTATGGATTAAATTGGGTGATTTAAGAAAGATAAGTGACATGTGGGACCCACTTAAGTTACTTAAGTGGATAAAGTGATTCAAAAATCAGATTTTTTCTCATTTTCTCTCTCCTCCTCTCTTCTTCCTCCCGTAGGTTTCTCCATTTTGGTGGTTGGAAGCCTTGTGATTTACAACTTTTTTTCTATATATTTTTGAGAGAAACTCTCAACTACAAAGTTGTTCCCCTTTAAATTGTGAGTGACTTTCATGTAGAGTGCACCTTGTGGGAAGCATTATGGAGAGAGAAATCCTCCATATACAGCAACGAAAATTGTGATATTTGGGAGAACTTTTGAGGATTCTTGTGTTGACCCTAGGAAGCTATTAGTGGTAAGTTTTCACATTCTCGATGAATTTTCCATTATATCATAAAATGGTGAGGGTTTTTGATGATGTGTGTTGAGTTATGGTAGTTAGGAGCATTAAATGGTATATCTCCTTTGGAATTAAATACTTAGAATGATAAATGATGATCATTGATGTAATAAAAATTATTGTGATTTGGAAAATTGTAACTTAGTGAAATTTGAGTTGAATTTCGATACTTTGTTAAATTGGTATGTTGTTGAGTTGTGGAGTAATTGGATGGGTTAATTATAGAATTGTATGATGTGTGGAAGTGTGGAATTGGATTGAATATCCCTAAGTTGTTGGGCATGAACAATTCGACCTATTGTGGTCATGGATGGTTTGATGATGTAAAAATGATATAGTTGATGTTGTATGGTGGTAGATGGTGTTTAAATGGATGATAGTATATTGTGATATAGTGGAATTGGAAGGAAGAATGTGGGTTGTATGGTGTGTATGGTAATTTGACCTATAGGAAAGTTAAGGAAAAATAAATGAAAAATAGCCCTTGGACTAAGTGAGTAGGTTTGGGTATTGTATTTTGAAAATGAATTGATTGCCTTGAAATTGTATTGATGATCATGTTGTTTGATCATTATAGGTTTCCTCTCACGGACTCAATATAGGAGAATTAAGCTTGGAGCTTACGTTGAGGAGCATTATCTTCGAAGTTGAGGTAAACTCTTGATACTTTGGTTCTATCCCTCGTGTGTTCCGCTACACCTAGTGGAAGGTCGTGGTTGGATTTTGTGCTTTTGACGTTGTGTTAAATTATATGTTCATGCATTGTTGCTTGAATTGTGTGATATATCTGTGATATCTGCCCAGTAGATGTGTGTGGTTTGGACTTCCGCTGGAGATATCCCTTTGGGGGTTCCGTTCGGGTTTTGCCGTGGGGCCGACTTTGGGAGTGGCACCAGGATGATCCAAACGTGGGACTTCTGCTGGATAGGGCTCATGAGGAGTTCCAATTGGGTTTTGCCATGGGGTCGTCTCATCCATGGGAGAGGCGCCAGGAAGCTTCTCGAGAGTTATACGATGGGGTCCTTGAACGGAATCCTTGTGGGAATGTTCTTAGATATGAGCCCAGTGTTGTGATTTTGTATGTTATGCATTTTATATGATGATCATTGTATGCACATTTAGTGAACCATGGGGTGGAGTGATCCTTTAGTACCCTTGGTTTACTGAGATATATTTGTATATCTCACCCCGCGTTTGGGGATATCATTTCAGGTTATAGTGAGTATGGATGACCATTGGGTAAGAGGCCCGCTTAGTGGAGGAGTCGGATCATGATGTGCATATAGAGAGCATGACATTTTGGAGGATTCCATTTGATACACATAGCATAGTGTTTAGTATTTTGGACTTAGTTTATGAACATATTGCATGTGATATTGCATGCTTTTGTGTGTTCATAACCATATTCTAAGTCTTTTGAAATTGATGTATATATATGTCTCTTGTTATATTGACATTTTGGTGAGCATGAGACTTGTCCATGGCCATATTTTGTGTTTAGAGGCATTTGGATATTTGTGATGTAAAATGAGTAATATAATGTTTAAATGGCCTTGGAATTGGGAATTATTGTAATTGAGACATTGTATAATGCATATGCATGATGGAAGGGCCTAGAGCCTACATTAGTAATGGTACATGAGTTATATTAAGTATTAAAGTGTTAGGAATGAAATTATGGATCCTTTGTGAAGTGAAAAAGCTGTCAAAACTGGTATTTAACAGTAGGGAATCGATTCCCTGCTGTTGGGAATCGATTTCCTGAAACAGAGAACGTGAATTTCAGCCACTGCGAAGGCTGAGAATCGATTCCTAAAAATAGGGGAGTAAAAATCAAGCTTCTGTCTGTTACTGTAGCTGTTAGAAATCGATTCCCACTGTGAAATTTTTGAAAAATTAGTCATTTTATAACCTAGAGTCGATAATGTTACTTGTAGGGGTTATAATAAATAAGTTTTATGCTTTCGCGAATTTTGCTTTACAATTACAATGTTGTTTTTAATTGATTACGGAAATGGTTAATGTTTAAAGAAAAGAATATAATAAAATGAAAAAGTTTACTCGTAATTTAATTAACTCAATTACTGTAATTGTAACTGCGCTTAATACCATGTGCAATGATAACATTACCGGTACGTAACGGGCTGTTACAATTGGGCATCCAATATTTTATTTTTTTCGATCCAAAAAGACATGCGTGTATGATTATTTAATAATCATGGGTGTTTCTTTCAATTCCTTAAATCTCCAAATAATTCGTGAACTCATATGTAGAATGATTTTTTCTTTAAAACTTTTGACAAGACATGACAATAATATTAGAGTTCAATTGTTTTGAGTTTGCTTTTAATAAATTAATACCAAAAATAAAAAATGCAACATTCATTGTCTAATTATTTTGAGATTGACTTTAGTGAATAAATTCAAATCATTGGTGTAACCAATGTTGTCAAACTCGAGTTTCTACGTAGAAACGAAAATGG